CAACAAGGCAGCCACTGCACCACGAATAACACAAACAAAGAGAAGCAGAACCAAGTAGCCACCGCGATTGAGGTTAAGTAAGGTCTGCTCGCTGCCGCGCGCCACCCCAATCAAGCGCCTGCGCTCGTCGAGAGCTCTGACTTGCAGCTACGCTTCTCTTCCGGCCTGGGCACGGCAAGTGCATCCATGCACTCGTCTCGACAAATGAGCCTGAAACATTTCACTTGCTAAGCCAGAAAACCACATTCTCACCGCTTGCAAGAGTCGCCTCCAAGTCCCTAATAGGCTCTGGGTGGGCGGCTCGCCCCAGCCGCGCCTGGGCTTCAACAGGGGCTTGGTTAACTGCTTGAACTTGTGATCCACGTGTGGCTCGCATAGCCAATCAGCATGCAGGAAGGCTGCGTGAGTCATTCCGCAGCGACACTAGGAAGCCGGCAACGTCGTCGTCTGGCACTTCACACCCTCCTTAGGAGCGGCAGTCAAGGATCCAACAACACACCCTGGCAACCACATAAAACAAGAATCAAACTGCCTAAGCGGGCATTGTTTGCCATGGTTCCCTCGAAAAACTCCCATTTTGACCTGGCAAAGATTCCACTCCAGGTGCGAAGTCCGATCTGAACCCCCTGGCCTGGTCCATTGCTTCCAACTCGCCTGGCCGCATTCTTGCCGTATGCCCCAGGGAAACAGGGTACGGTTATTGAAGACACCCCACCACCACCAGTCTCAAAACCATCTTCTTTTTCACAAGATTCACTCTTCACAAAGCAGCTAGCGGCTGCAGACAAACATCATGTTCCGCGTGCTGCAGGCTTTTCTGATGCTCCCTGCAAAAGCGACCGTCCAAAGCCCGGGAAAAAGAAAGATGGCTCGGTTTCAATATTATTCTTACATACTTGGATTTCACACGCGCAACGGGATGCCAATGTCACGATGCAAACGGCCTGCATGCTCCATCTCGCCTCCCAGGGGCCGGGGGTGGGCACAACTGGACTCATCATAAGATGTCGGCATACACAGGTGGTTGTTCTTTGTTTCAACAGCTTCTGCATGGTGATTTCTTGAACTGCCCACCAAAGGAATCCGAACCACCTGTCTGTGCAACGGACTGGAAGCTTTTCGGGAGGCAGGGGTGCTTGGAAGCAGCAGTTGCCGACCATTGTCAGAACGTGCAACACGCACTTGCGCATGCAAGCACTTGCTCTGCCCCTTTGACACTGGTCGCAAGTGTCAGGCACGTGCCTGCCACACGCCAGCTACAAGAACAAACCATTTCAGCCATACTAGGAGGCCCCCGCTACCGCGCCTAGCTCACCTAGCTCTTCTCTCCGCAGTGCCTGCAAGCGCATCAGCGCACCGCAGTCCCGGAGGTTCCCACTGATTGCCAAGGGGGGGGAGGTAGGGGCGCCCAGGTTCAGGGCCAAAAGGGCCCAGGCGATGAAGCACTCCTCGCAGGTCTCTCTCAGGCGTTTCATGCTAGCGCTGCTTTCATCGAAGCCGGCCAGCCCTTTACCGTCTGCTTCGGGGGGTCATGCCCCCCTTTGAGCACAAAAGTGACGGGGATTGCCCAGTTGAAGGCAACAGCTTCTTCTTTTGTTGATGCTGGACTCCTCACTCTATCTTCCACAAGCAAATGCCAGCACCAGTGAACACCCTGGGTGTAAAAGTGCATGCTCCAAAACTTTCTTTGTGACATGTCGAACCCTCAGCTCCCCTCAAAGTCTGCACAAACTGCACAGCTTCACAGCGTCCAGTGGTTCCAAACAAACCCCTGGCCCATCGCCTCTTCAGCCCAGGCCTCACAGTCAGGGAGGCGCCTCGGCTGATCGGCAGCCGCATGAGTGCCCGACCGTGCAGCCCGCACCTTCTGGCCCTGAAAAAATCAACATCCAGAAACTGGCAGCACAAAACAAGCTTTCCACATGCACCATGGGACGATCAGCTCTGGTTTCCGATAGCTGGAGCCAACAGGCACTCAACACGCTGACTAGGGCACCGTACCGTTTCCGGGCGAAGTCGGCAAGGAATGCTATCAAGTCCTGCCGGCCATGCCCAGAGCCCCTGCATTTGTACACAAGAGAAGGATTGCAATATATAAAAAACAAACTAGCTCGTGTGCAGCTCCCTTGTCATGGTGAAGTCAAGCTGATGCTCAAGGTTCCAACGGTTGTATTGATTGCAACCCTCGAAGCAGCACTGATGGCCGTGTAGCGCTTCCCTGTTCAGCAAGTTGGTTCACTTTTCCAAAGGCAGTGATACCTGTGAGACTTGACATTGTTGCAGATCTGCGCACTGAAGCTTTTGTCATCAGGGCAAGCCGGAAAATGTCCGCATAAGCAACTCATGCCTACACATAAGTGTCTATATCCTACCACGCAGCAAAGGCTGGGCAACTCTTGTGCCCCTCGAGATCCCTTCAGAAAAAGGCCAAGCGCGGGAACCCTTGCCACACGACACAGAAAGGATTGCTTGCCATTTCTCAACCATTCAGGTTGCAGCTTCCTTGTTGAGTGCTGCTCACTTGTTTATGGCAGCGCTTCATACCGCTCCAGTGCCAGTGTAGTCACGCCATAGCTCGCCAACTCAACCTACGCTTGCCAAAAAGCCAGGTACTGCCAGTACCTTGAAATACCTGACAATGTGGGCTGGTTGTGGTCATCAAGCGAAAAAGCGCTCCCAAAACATTCTTCTTGGTGTGGATCCACATCCCCAGCCTCCCAGCGCTCTACGTCGACAAAAGAACACACCAGCCCCAAAAGGCCCAGAGTCCCTGCCTCCCTCGCCAGCTCTGCGCCTCGATGTGAGGCTGAGCCCAGGTGTCAGCTTATGCGCCTATAGGGTTCCAAGCCCAGCCAAACCAGTGAGATGGCAGAGCTAAGGGAGGAATCCCACCAGGCACTTTCGCTTTTTGAAGGATGTTTTGCAAGCAAGCTGGCAAGCTCGGGGCTCCTTCGGCAACCCTCTCTGCCAGTCACTGTCTACAAGGATTTGTTTCAGGGCGGGTTATATCCGCTTCCAGAAATTCAGCCACGTTGGACAGTCAACAGCTAGCTTGAATGGAAGAATCCATCGACCATTTGCCTTGAACAAGCGGAAGAGCAAGCGGGCAATCGCAAAACCCGCTCACATCAAGGCCGCGGCAGCCCTGCCAAGGGTCTTCTTGGCTCCAGTGCCAGGCCTGAAGACCGGATCGGATGTGCCCCCGATCCAGCCGTTGAAGAGCCCCGAACGAGCAACCAGAAAGAGAAGCGAGCAGCGGGATGCGTGCAATGCTAGAGCCTCAAAGATGGGTTTCAAGAAATCATTCCTTGGCGGGGTCCAGCTGGATTTCCCCGAATAGTGAGTAGGATGTGCTCCTCCTCGTGAGAGCCTGTGGCAAGGTAGACACCTTTGTGTGGCCAATATTTCGCACAAAAGAAGTCGTGAGTCAAGATCTGAGTTCCTTTGTGAACACATCACGATTGCCAAAAAGGTGACCACACATCCACATGTGTCGGTGGCGTCAGGCGAGCTTTGCTTTTTTCCCACCAGTTTCTGGTCCACCCGGGTTTTCCGCACATGTGCCCATTAAAGTCGCCGGGCATTTTCGTGAAAACCATTCAACGCGGTCAGGGCAGGCCAAACCTGGCCAAGCAGCTCATGTGCTACGCTTCACGTCCTGGGCACGCGCCACACAAGGTGCACACTGCGGCGCATAAGTGCAGCTACTCAGGGAACCCTATGCAATCACGTGCTAAATCACAATGCAGCCAAATGCAGCCACATGTTTTAACACATGGGTTCCAAATGCCATGTGCGACACCTGGGCGCGGTAATTGGTCTCTAGAGTCAAGCGCTGAAGCTGTGCCTGCACCATTTCCAAGCAGACAAGCGGCAACAAACACCAACGCACAAGTGACAAGGGGACTTTGGCTTAATTGGCCTGAACCACGCGAAGGCCCATGCCTATTGAAGCCTATGAGCATCACCCACAAAACGCAAATCCTAATTTTCCTGGACACTTGTATGGGTCATGTATTTCCCGACCGCTTCAAGCAATCTGCTCTGGAAAATTGGTGGGCAAAAGGCTGCGCAACTGCGGCGGGCCTTCAATTTAGAACGGGGCAGGCTCTGGCTCTGGCTCTGGCACGTCGTTTCAAAACGAGGCGAGCAGCATGAAAGGCAAGACAAAGGTTCTCAAGGCTAGCAGGAAACTATCAAGACGTTGAAAGCATATCAAATGTTATGCAACTACATGCCGATTCGCTCTTGCCAAGCACAACAGCTATGACATTTACCTACCCAGCTTGAAGCATGCAATCAACATTTACGAAGGTCAATGATGCATATGGTGCTGTCCAAAACAAGAAACTGTTGCCAATGGCCCATGTGCTCATCTCATCTCTGCAGCTCGCAGCCCAATGCTAAAGCCTGCCCCTTGCTCATCCCAACCGCAGGGAGCAGAACTTAGAAACGCCGGCTGATCCCCCATGCTAAGTTGGAGACCAGGCTGGAAACCTTCAGAAAGCCTTCATCCAAAGAAATCAACCGTGCAGCTGGGCCAACAGCAACATGGTCTACCCAAGGGATTTCCCAATCATTGAGCTCCTGAAATTGCGTCCATTGCACTACTTGGTCTGGCTAGGCCTGGCTCTGGCTTTAAGGTCGGCCACTTGGCCGACCGGCCCAACTTTGTCTGGGCTCAAAATTCAGAATCCATCCAGGGATCCTATGGACAGACCCCCGAAGGTCACTTCTCCCGGAGTGCCGCTCGTCCATGGGTCTGCACCGCGCCAACACGAACATGCTTCTCTTGGAACTTCGGCAGGCACACCAGGCACAGAGTGGTGGCCGGGCTCCAGACCCAGCTTCCCCCCGCGCCCCTTGGCACACTCGTTTGCACGTGTCTCACACAAGCAGAAGGATTCAAAACAGTGCGACCCAAGGGAGAGACCCCTGGCCCTCCTGAAAAAGCAATGAGCCAAGTTAGTTCCCAGCGCCCAGAGCCACCCAGACCTGTTTCAGGTGAAGGTGGAGGCTCCCTGCGCCAAGCGCCTGGAGAGGTGGGCGGGTGCCAAGCCCTGACGGGGGGACACCCCGTAGACGCGGGCACGGTAGTGGATTCCAGGGCTCGGTTGCGGCGCAGGATGCTGCGGCCCGGCGGGATACATGCGAGGCTGGTAGCTGTTGCCTTGCTGGTAAACTCCTGCGGGTCGAGCCACGCCCAAATCCTAAAGCAGAGCCACCTCACCAATATGTCGCCTGTGGGCTCACATGGGATCTCGCTACTTGAATTTTGCCAAGGTGGGCTTAGAAATTTCTCAACATCAACAAGCCAAGTCGGCTGCTTCTGCAAGTTCTGCACGCAAGGGCTAGATTGTGGAACGGGAGGAAGTAGGAGGGGCAAAACGTTGAGCTGCACAGGATATGTTAGTTGCGTTCCGTTGGATAAAAGTGCACGAAACTTGCACAAATGACTGTATATTGCAGACATGCATAACCGGCCTAACCAACGAAGGCAACCCGACGACAGAGTACACCTGCATGCGACCAACACAAGATTATACAACGATGAACAAGTGCCGACAAACAAAGGCAACAGCAATACCATAGCATGTTCAACCTACACGCGTGCGCATACAAAACACACAGCAAATCACGCACGGCACAAAACGCGTCAGCATGCCACCACTTGGTGATACCCGCCGGCCCGCCCACAAAACAAAATTCACCTGGGCACGGGCTCCTTGAGACATCCACACGTCAGAGGTCCTCCCCACAGGCGTGGACACCGGCACGGAGCCCCGTGCCGCCAGCCAGGGCGGCAGCTTCTTCGGCGCCGGCGCTGGGGTGCCTGGAAAGTGGGAATGAACCCAGGGATTCCCTCAAAGGAAACCCTCCCCCTCTCCTCTTGCAAGGGGGCCACAAGCTATGGTTTATCAGGGTCGTTCCCCCCATTCCCTGCCTATAACACCAGCAAGTGATTGCAGCACGCAGGAACACGGGCCTGGCGCAGACAGGGTGTTGTCCTCCTCGATGGGCTGCAGCGCGGCATCCATCTCCGGCCCTGGGCCCTGCTCTGACAGCCTGCAGTGTTGAACATAAAAAAAGCCCCACCTCTCTACCGTGGGAAGGGGGAGAGAGAGAGAGAGAGAGAGAGAGAGAGAGAAAGAAAGAAAGAAAGAGAGAGAGAGAGAGAGGATGGGGTCGCCCAGTTCCATTTACCTAGTCTTCCCCACGAGGCGGGGCATGGGACCAAACATGCCCACTGCCTCCAAAAGACCACCCGAGAAAGAGGCTGCTTTCGAACTAAACTGAGATTAAAACTAACGCAAGTGGAACTCAGGATCGAGTTTTGACCAAGCTGCTCACTTGCATGCTTCGATTGGTTCTTTGAAGGTTGCAAATCTCTGTAGTTCACACTTAAGGTTGGCCAAGTGCTTCTGAGGAAATGCGGCTGGATATCTTACTGACACCTACATTGGCACCTCGCGCGCGCCCCCTGCAAGCGGAAGGGAGTTCCATTCAATGCTAGTGGCGGGGGGAGGGGTAAGTTCCATTCTTGAGCACAGCGCTTTTTGGACATGGATGGATCTGAAACAATTAGACAAGTTGAACATGATGGTGGCTGGCATGTTCCTGGAACAGTTGGGCAAACTGTGTGAAGTGAGTGGAACTAACCGCTCCAAGCAGCTGAGATTGCAACTCGCAAATGAGGCGATCCTTTTCGATGATAGAGTACTGCACCTTGGCAAGGCGAACCGAGCCTCTGCTTGGCGCGCCATGAGCCATTTGAATTTTGCGTCCCCGTCCTGAGGCCGCTGCTAGTAACTTCTTATGATGCTTGCACTGGCTGCATATTTAGCAACTGTTCGATGGGAGCAGGGCGCTCTGCATGGGGAGCTGCCAGTCGAATTGTGGAGAGGCGTGATTGAGCAATGTAACAACGGGCATGAGCTGTGTATTTATTTGATTGAATGTAGGATGCAAAGGTAAGTGCTTACCACCTGAGCGCTGCACTAATGAGGGATTTGGTGCTGAGGTCCCTTCGTTGGCTCTATTTGCGCCATGCACGGACTAGCACAAACCCGGTCTTAGATTGTGATTCAACATAAGCACGTTGGCTTGTTCCTGTTTTCATGAGCGGAACAGTCAGAGCATAGCTCGTTCGATAGTATGTCATTGCACGGTTGGCTGGCTCGCCTCAGCACCCAAACAGTGCTGCGTCATACGTCAAAGGTTTTTCATGGTCAACAACTGGGTTGTCTTTTCTCGTTTCTTTGGGGGCGTTTGGACGCAGGAAGTATCGACACAGATGCCGCAGAAACACAGCAGATGATCCACGCAATGAGCCAGCATCCAGCTCGCATCCAGCTCGCAGGTCAAAACAAGTGCTAACAGACACATGACAAATCACGCCACGTAGAACTGCCCATGACGTGTTGTGGGCATCTGAGCTATCGAATCTTACTCATGCAGCTCCGCCCCTCAACCATGCACAGCGTGCACAGGCGGAATAGCTGGCCAATGCTGGCCAGCTCCGGGCATCGGAGACGCCAGGGCGCTGTCTGACGCTTTGAGAGTTCATCCGCCAGCTGCTGCTGCAGATTGCAAACCTCGCGCTCCTGCCATAGCCAAGCCCCAGGTATACCTCCCCAATGAATAACCAGGGACGCTTCAGTCCTAGAGGTCTGCCGCTTTTCTGCTTCATGCATGTCAACTTCTGAACTGAACCCCGGCAAGTGCCTTGTACTGGCAATGAATATTCTTCCGCCTCTTTGACCGTCTTTGACTCTCTTGGATAAAGTTGGCCGAATAACGTGCAAGGCCGGTTCGCCATGCTGCCCTGACGAAATGGCACCATGGGCTCTTGAAGGGCCACGGTTTCAGCCAAGCCAGCCCGCATCGAAACAACCACGCGTGCCAAAACACAGAAATCAGAAATCAGAAACCGCAAGGAATACACAACCCCATGGAGAAAACTATGAGAACCCATGCGCAATAGCGCGCAGGCTTGGTAACCAGCTTGGTCAACTCCATCTTTCAGGTCCACTCGGGTTCGAGTTTGGCAGGGCTTCATCAAGAAATAAGCCTGTAAGCACATCATCCGTGCCCATCTCGTCACATCTAGTCACATGGTGTGTGGAAACAAGCTCTTGCCAAGGCTCACCAATTGCAGAATGAGGGTGTCTCGTTTCAGCGGGACGGATGTGTGCTTGTTGATTCGGGTACTTCATGCGGATGGACGAAATCCTGCACCACCTACGAAACCCTGGAACGCTGATTCCCCAGAAAATGCCAACAAACAGTGGTTTCCCATGGTTGCAACGTGGTGCAGGAGTTTGTCCACCCACAGGCCCAACCAAGAACAGCACAAGTTTGGCCTTCTCAATGACCTGCTCCTGCACGGCCTGCTGGGCTGACAACCTGGCCATTTGCCACGTCAGTCCAACTCCCCAGTGTTCCTTGCTGCTCACGAGCAAGTCATTGCTGATGACCTATGTCTCAGAAATCTTATTTCTCCGGCACGTCACGCATCACCAGCCCCTGGCGCCTGTCCAGCGGCTCTTCCCGGAGATCCTTGAGCATCCGCTCCTCGCAAAGGCCACTGGCCGTGGAATGTGGGCTGTCAGGGCGTGGTGAATGGGCACACAAGACAGGACTCCCTTGCAAGAGTGCAGTTGTACCAGCACAAAACGGAGGCAGCTCCCCCTTCTTGCAATTTTCACACTCGCAACTGGTGCAGCTCGAGCCCTTGGATAGCTCTATGGCCAGTGCTGCGCCCCACCAAGATATTAGGGTGGCGGGCAGTATGGCCAACCAAGCCTCATCACCATCTTTTGTGCAGTCCTTTCTGAGTAATTAGGGCAACCCCCTCGCACGACTCGCTTCATCGTAATACTAATATGTTGCTGAGCCATCTCTGGAAACAGGACAACACACAGCACATCTTTCTTACGCAATAAATCTAGAACTGGTGCAAACTTCTCCACTGTGGCGGAGAGCCCATCTGGTCTGCCCTTGTGAACTTGGACTAAGTCTTCCCGCCCGGCCTTCTCCACAAGCTGTTTCTGCGCTGCCTGCGCAGAAACATGGCAGGACTCCCTGACTATCATTCTGGCTAAAGATGCCTGCCTCCAATGATATCGTAATTTGTGTGCGACTATGTGCGGCTGGATGTGTGCCCCAAAAAGCACACAATATCCGGCATCCAACATGCCCATTTCACAGCAGAACAACCCCGCATCTTCCAACCCACACTGCAACCTCACCACCCCCCTGCATCCCAAATCTGGCCATCGAGATATACACTATACACCACACCCCTGCATGTCCCACCAAATAGGGCGGTGGGCAAAACACACACACACACACAACCAAAAAGAAGAAAAAAAACAGAAACCCCAAGCCGCACCCGGCAACGCCAAAGGCGTGCCTGGCGCTGCGTCAGCTCTTCGGCCAGCTGTCGCTGAAGCTCCACCAGTTGGCTCTCCTGCACGCTCGGCCCAAGGACCCTCGCAGGTCAAGAGAGAGTCCACCCCTCTGCAACTCCCAGCGGGCACGCAAACTGAAGACCCGCCCTATGCTGGCAAGCAAGCGTCTGACCCATGACACTTTGATGCCCGGCTACACTGGGCTGACTCAATCTTCTCCCGAAGGCTGATCACCAGCCAAGCCAGTGGCTAGTGCCGTCTGCTGCCTTGAGTTCGATTTTGTGAACATGCCTGCTCGCAGAAGGGGCCGCCCAGCAAACAAATGGGGCCATTACTTGAATTATTTTGCAAAGCGTCATTTTCACGAGGCATACTGGCTTGAAGCTGCCCAGCGCCGGGGCCAATGGTTGGCTGCTGCGGGTGACTTTGTACGGTTTTGTATGGAGCTATGATTTCCCATGCCTTGTAGGAACGAGGTGACTCGAACGGGTGGAAGGAAGGAAAGGAATATCCGCCAGCATGCGATATGCTACCGGCTACACCGAGACCAGCAACGAGGTCTTGGGTTCGCAAAAATCTACTGTACTCGCCATGAATGGAGATCTATGTGCTCACCAAGCCTTCTTGCGTGCTGAATTGAAATTGCAAACACATCAACTAATTTGAGCCCTGAAGTGGGCTGAATGCAAACTCCGACAAGTATGGGGGCGCCACCTCGACAAGAATCTTGCAAACAACCTGACGCAAACTCGGAATTGACATTCCTTGCTGGCATGCTTTCTCCTCCCCCCAAGCCAACCCCTGCCTTGGCGGACAGCTTGGTGAGCCTTGGTCCGCCGACGGCGCTGACGGTGCCGGATAGGCAGGGCCACGCACCCGCAGTCACATGACTTACCAGGCAGCCCTGCCATGCCAGAAACATGCCTCCTCGAACCGAGCAGCAGAATTCAGAAAGCTTCATCTGGGCCATGCTAAGCTACACTACGGAACCCCTTGCCTCAGCGACATTGGAAAGCCTGCGAGCCTGTGGACGGTGCATGCTAGCAACCTTCTCATCACAAAACCATTCTGAGCGCCTGCCCAAGGAGCATCTGCAACTGTAAATTGATTCCGCACCTAAATTAGGAGACCATATGGCCGGGTCCGGCATCATGCATGCGCGTGTCTTGGCCCTGGCTGAATCTCGAAAAGCTCAACGAATGATAAGTATAATGTATACACGTGTATAGTCTATATATATAGTCTACATATATATATATATATGTGTGTGTGTATGTACATCTATATATATATATATGCACGCACATGCATGTAAACAAGTATGCGAATACATAACAAGGCTGAACGCTGCATGCGTGCAGAGTACTTTGTTCACTTCTTCAGCACACGTGTTTGTATTGCCTCGTTTGAGTTTACTCATTGATGGCTCTCCATTGATGGGCCCACTACTGTACGCTAGCAGGCGCACGATGAAACTGACTCATTGCATTTCGCTTGCAAGCCGGTGCGGATTTGAACCCCCCCTTCAAAGTGCCGAGGTTCACTTCGCTCTTGTCCTTTTTGGAATCTCGGAGGTCTGTCTCAAACTGCTGCAGCTTCATCTCCCGATCGAACCTTTCCTGGCTCTCCGCACACAGAGCACACACTGCTAGTTGAATCGAACAAGCAAGCCACTGCAAACACCTGCTTCGCTGTACTAGTGGGAAGGGTGTTCCAGAAGTGTGACTGGGCGTTGGTTGGATGCAAGAACAGGCAAATTGCTAACATGCCTTCAAAGCAACATTCACTTTGTCATTGGTCCTGGGACTTCATCTTTTGTTCAAATCTGCTAGCTTGGCTGGTGTTGCCACTTCCCGTGGATAGGAACACATAATTGCCGCCTCGCTTCACTCACGATTACAGCAAGAATCGCGTCACCGTATCAGCACGCATGGTCACCCCTTCATCCAATACCAATTTTCCTGAACCATGACATGACATGACATATGCAATGAATTAAGGTGAAATGAGGATGAAGACAATGAAGGTGAAATATGTGGATGAAGATGAAGTGAGCATGAATTCTGAGTGACGTTTCTGGATTTTGTACTGCAGCCCTCTTGGGCCAGAGACGTCCGTCGGGCGAGCCTTCTCCTCGCCCAGCAGCCGCTCCCGGAGGTGCCGCAGCTGGCCGTCCCGGTCCGCCACGAGGCTCTCGGACTCCCGGCGCTTCTTCTCCTCGAAAGGATCTTCAGCCGAGAAATGGCCGTTCCACTGGCACGGCTTCAAGGAACATGCCAGTGGAACGGCAACTTCTCGAAGGTTCAAAACCCAAGTCTATAGCCTGAGCAACCCTGGGCATGCGCATTTTTTTTGGGGGGGACCCTGGACAGAATGCAAAAGTGTATGCCGTACATTGCAGAGAAAGCCAAGAGAAATGGCATCCAGTTGCCCAACTTTGAACAAGCCGTGGCTAAGGGAACAGAAGGAAGGGGAACACTGCCACCCTTGCGTTGGCGCCGTTGTCAAGATGTCAGCGAGGTTTGGCTCTGCAGGGCCATGCTCGAACCTGAGGATTGCACGAGTTCCTCTATGAGGCATTCACCAAATCATCATTATGTTGTTTGTACGAGCCTCCTCGTCGTTGCAGGATGCATCAGGATCAAGCAACTCATTTTGGAAATGGTCGTGGTGCTTTCATCCTGGGGACCACCCTCCACGACAGTCCTCGCAGTTCAGCTTGTCTTGCAGTTCCGTTACGACCTCAGCCGCAGCAAAGGGTTGCAGAGTGTGCTTTTGGCGCAGGAAAGGGCTACGGGCTCAAAAAGAAGGGGGGATCAGGCAAGCACTCCGTGGCTCTTCAAAAGCGCTTTGCGAGCATATCACTTGTGCTCGATCCCGACTGACCTGCCAGCGCTCCCTGGGCCTCGGGCCACGTCCACTTCCCCGGCTCCCGGCTCCGCAAGGCACTGCAGCACCTCCTCGACGCGGGGAGCTTGGGATTGGCTCACACAATGCGTCAAAGTTGACACGAACTTCCGTACTGAAAGTCACTGAGGCTCTGCAAAACGGATGCGCGCACTTGCGTGTGGCTTTCAAGAATAGAAGCGCTGTGCGGGAACGAACTGAGAATTAGCTGGAAAAGGCGGAACTGGGAATAGAAGCGGGCACGGAGACCGGGCGCTCACACTAGGCTTGGAATCAGGAAGCCTCTGCAAAGTTGCTTCGAGCTGGACCGAAAATCCAAGATTGCACAGAAAAATATACTGTTTGGGGGAATGTTGCTCAACAATTCCGCTGGACCAAAGTCCAAAAACAATTCCAGCTATGGTTGGGGTAGGATTGCTTTGTTTCGTGTTTTTGTTGGTTTGCAAAAAGTTGGCCAGAATGGTGCACAATATGTCCCACAACATGTCCACTGAACCAAAGCCCAAAATCAACAAAACCAAAGAAACTAAGCTTTCCAGCTATGCTGAGGGTAGGATAGCTTTTTGCGGGTGGTGCCAAAATGTTGGCCAAAATGCTGCGCAGCATTTGTGGAAATATGTTGCGCAACCGGACCCAAGAGAACAAAGAAGGTAAACCAGCACTTTCCGGCCATGGTCGGGCTGTGATTGTTTTGTTGTTGTTTGCCTTTTATGTGTTACTGTTGTCTTCTGTTTTTGCAAGTTTGCCAAATGGTGGCCAAAATGATGCGCGACATTTGGAAAGATCTAAAATTAAAGCCAGACTGTTTTGTTTTAGATGGATTTTGGCTTCATTGTTTTTAGGTGGGAGTACGGACAAAATGACAGATATTGTGGTATTGTTCTAGATGTTTTTGTTTTTTTTTTTGGGCGAGGGGGGCAGAATGCAGCTAAAACCTTCAAACACAAATCAGTCCCCACCGCAAAGCGTACTGACCCACGGGAAGTGCTGACAACTCACAATGCCAAGCGACGAAGTGGCCCCGCCTGCAAGCGTGACTCCTTTTCGGCCACCATCTGCTCCAAAGCAGCAATGCTGGCCTCCAGTCCGGCAGAAAATGTTGACCCAGATTAATGAACCCCTGCCGATTCATGGCGTTCCCCTTCAAATGTGATGAATCCCCACTGAGGGACACCCCCATATCGATAAACGGGGGCTTATGAATCCGGGGTCGACATTCAGCAGCAGCGCTTCCTTCACTGAAAGTCTGGGCTGCGGCTGCCACCCTCTCCGCTAGCAAGCGCTCTGCCAATGTCAACAAGGTCTGATACTGCCCAAATGATGTTGGGCGCACTGGCCATGCTTGTTGGAATGTCGCAAATGGTCAGCAACCCTCGAACTGAGCCATCCGTAGAAAATCGGCAAGTCAGGGGCCACGCAACGAATGGCCTAGTTTCACGACATAAAAAAAAAAAGCGCGCAAGCTGCCTTGTCCTCCGTAGAAGCATCGACTCTTTGGGCGGTGTCCGCCAGCCTGGGCCCGAGAATCGATCCAGGCAAGTCTGGCAAGGACTTTGGTTGCTTCTTTTGCCAAGTATTCCGCTTAAATTGGGAGATTCAAGCCTACCTGGTAGTACCAGTAGGCATTTCTAAGGTGCACCATCCAGTATAAGACAACCCCGGAACCTCACTCACTGGTCCAGCAGCGAAAAAGCCATACGGTTCGTGTGGAACGAACCGGACGACGGCTGAACAACCGCCAATGAGACGAGAAGCTGCAGCTCCAACTGCTCCATCTTCGCCCTCTGCATGCGCTCGCGAACTTCCGCGTCCTGAAAGAAATCACCCTGCTTCAGGGAAAAGCATCGCCCAAATCACCAGGACATCCACGAAACCAGCTGCTGAAAGCAATCTTGCACTTGTCAAGGTGAATGTGTGCTTCCGTTCGCACGCGGACCATTCACCGTGCCGCTGAAAGAGAGCGGCAGTGTCATTTGCTCGCAACCAGCGGCACCGGCAAACCAAGCTTCCTGTGGAACTGCAATTGGGCTGCGAATGATCGTGCAAGGCCCCAATTATTCAGCCGAAGTACCCTTGGAACTGTCGCTACGATCTACGGCCTTCGGTCAGATTGCCGTCAACTGGCCGCGATATCAAAAGGATCTCCATCACAGAAGGCCCATTCTGGCCTTACTAGAAACATGACTGACAGTGATGCTCAATCACAGGAAAATGGAACCCAACATACCGAGCACCGGAGGGGTCTTGCGAACATCACGATTCCTCGACGAACCGCAACAATGGAACGGTCCTCGCGCTTCTGCTGCTCTGTGGCGTAGTCCTCCCGCAGCCGCTGCAGCTCCTGCAACTCAGCCAAGGCGTTGACAAACGTGTCATTAGCGGACGTGTCGAGCTCGAGGAAATGGAAAAACATGAAAACAGGTCAAGCGCCAACTCTTGAATTCTGAGTTGTGGGGAGTTTTTGCCCCAAACCCAAAGTAGACTATCCAACAACTTGGTCAGTCGCATCAAGGTCATGGTTGTGTCTGAGGGTCCTGGATGGAAGAGGTATCACTTTAAGTCAGGTCCCGATGTCCCTCTGTTACCTTCCGCCAAGTGAAAGTTTCCTGCCTTCAAACACATGGTGCAAACCTTCATTAAAGAAGCGTGTCACAACTGGTGTGGATTGAAGCAGGTAGACCGGCTGTAGGGTCTTAGATGTCTTTGCTCAACACCAAATTTGTCTCAGGGAAAGGCACGTCTGCCCTACTCGCCCAATTCCAGTTCGCCTCCTCAGAGCCGCTCGCCACTGCAATCCTTGAAAGGCCAGCAAGAGCGAATGAGGGCTGACCAACACAACCCAGGCGTTTCCGATCGATGCCCTGTTCGACCAGGGCACGAGGAGTTGTCCACCTTCATTAGCAGCTCCTCCACCTGCTTGGTCAGCCTTGCGATGAGTCCGAGCCCGCCAACAGCAAAAGTGAATTCACTCGGCCCCCTGTTCATGCATGGATATTCCCCCAATTGGCGGGTGCCCGATTCAGCAAAGGCTCCTTGTTGCTCGCTGGCTCTCCTCAGATGCCAGCTTCTCTGCGGCTTCCTGCCAGGTTCTCCGGCCGGCAACAACTCAGAGCTCACACGAACTGAGGGCAAGAGCGCGCTTGCAACCAGAAACAGCACTTGACTACTTTGCACGTGAACGGAAGGTGAGGGTGTACCATGTCCCTTGAGCTGTAGCAGCATCGTATTGCATGCACGTGGGGTTACAATTAACTTGAGCGCGGAAGGGCTCCGTCGGTTAGGCTTTCCCTACAGTTTTCGTTCAAAATAACACCATGGTCGAGGTTACAGTACCGTCAGGCTCCAGAAAAGAGCTTGAATCACAGAACGAGTTGTGACCAAGAAAAGAGCCAAACCGGCAGTGGACTACTTTAGTCATCCAACACAATGTGTTGTTAGCATAACGTGGACAGCGCACCTCATGCAAGTCATGCGCCCGTGAACTAAACGCCGCTACTGGTAGCGGTCCCGAAGCCAAACATCTCTCACACTTTTGCACGGTCAATTCTGAAGAACGGTTGAATGGCTACTTGTAGTTCTGCCGAAAGCTAGCGTGGCAGCAGGAACGGCTGCAAAGCGTGCAAAGAGACAGTTGGCAGCCATGCTTTTCACAAACAAAGTTCACGATATTTCACAATGGCAGATCATGGTGAGCCACAGTTTCCTGCTTCTTCACTGCAAGCATGGACATGGCTGTCTCGACCATTGAACGGCGGGCCTTCTGCCGCTTCACCTCCGCAAGGGCCAGCACCAGCCTACAGCCCCGCACAGCATGCACATCGGACCCGATGCCCGAGGATCCCGTACAGTGTGAGGGCTCCGACCCATTCGTCGAAAGCAAAACGCATGGGGCCGGCAACGCCGCCAGTGTGGTGGTTGTTGTTTTTTTGCAAAAATGCCACCTCTTGGCCTTCTTTTTGGAGTTTGGCCCCGCACCTAGGCTTCTTTTCTTCTGGGTGCATAATGCACATGTTTTGCAAATCTTGTCACTGGCAACCTCGTGCCATTTGAGTTCCCCCGGCCTGGAATGGGACAGTAACACAAAAGATTTGCCGTTTTTCCCGATGCGGAAGCTCTTCACTCGCCAAGCGGCTTCTTCACTTTCTCGCTCTCCTGCAGCTGCAACATGCCCAGAGAGCGCTGGCCAATCCCACTTTTCTGATCATCACGTGCAAACTTGATTGTGGCTGGTTCAAAGGGAATCCGCCCCCCAAAATGAAGGAGTCCCTATTGTAAGGCAACCTCCTTGTTACCTCCTATGATTCACGAAGTATATTTTGGGGGCTGTGAATGAACTTTCATCACCGGAAGCCAGAGAAGGAAAAGCTCGGCTTTGTACACCTGAGTGCATATCGGCGATGGAAGATTGAGATCTATTCTACGGCTTTCTCAAACCTGTCTCCGAATTGAAGCTGAGCTACGGGGACACAGGTATGGGAGTTGGGCTAGGGCGCGCACGCTTTACATTCGATGAAGCTCCTTCCCGTTCCTATGTCAAACCATCCGTCCTCCGCCTGGTGCTTCTGAGAAAGCACCTTGGTTGCATGAATAGCCCGTCCGAAAGGTAGAAATTTCATCTCGGCGACGTGTTGCACCCTGGTCATCTCAAATGGATTCCTCAAAAGTTCGGCTATTCGGCAGTTTCACTCAACAAACCAGCAACTGCAGCTAGCCACCAGTCCAACCGCGTACCCCATGCCTAGCCCAGCGGCGGTCTCTAAACTGCTCAGCCTGCTCTGTTCCAGCTCGGAATCTTTGGCCTGCTGCTCGATGTGGCCTCGGCCATGGGTCGAGGTTGGCTCATTCCTATGGGCCCGGAACATCCCCATGCCGTCTCCCGTTCCCGCCATCTCAAAAAAATGGCAGATCAATCAAGGAACCTTCAAACACGCATGTCGCCTTAATTATCGGCAACACCAGAACCCATTGCGCAAGGCCAAGACACAACCAAGGCCAAACCAAAATTGAAACGGCCTGGCCAAAGCTATCTAATGCGCTGGGAACCTGTGCTGAAGCCCAGCTCTTTGTGGGTGTGGCACTGGGGTCTGGGTCACAACCAAACAAAGAGGTCGGGTCTACACATCAGCAGTTCCTCTATGATTCGTACTGCCCACCGTGAGCTGGAAAATGACACATGGTCCATACAACTTCTCAAGAGCTGCATCTCAAGCCCACCCCAGGTCAGCAAGGCATGGCAAAGTGGCTCTCCAGCTTTGCCATCAGCTTCTTCATTTGCAGAATCTCCTCATCCTTCTGTACGATCTTCCGGCGTTCCTTTGCCGGAGCCAATACCCCTTTCGCCCCCACCAGGTCAGAAAGTTAGAAGATCAAATGAACAGGTTGGCAGCTGGACGGATCTGTGGGCTTGTCTCCAAACCTGGCGGTTTGCCTTTGGATTCCCTCAGAAAGGCGCAAAAAACGGAGCCCCCAGCCTCTGCCAGAGCCGCCTCCAGCTGCACCACCCGAGCATCGCTGGGCAAGGAGCCGTCCCCTGGCAAAAAGGTGCGCCAGCCCCACGTGGTGACGTCCAGTGATTTGAGAGCCATTTGTCGGTTCCGGGCCTTGAGCCTCCTTGAATCGGAAACCAGTTCCACCCGCCCATTCCTGGGTAATTGCACGACTGGTCATAAGCCAATGCAGGTGGCTCATTTGACTGCAAACGGATGCTGCATTGGGCATGTGCGGCAAGGCCAGTTCAGGTCGCAACATCCTTCATAGGCACAAGCGGTACCACAACTGCAGCGCGACGTCCATTCTCCGATTCTGCGTCTGATGATGCGACTGTTCACCAACCTAGCTTTAGCAGCTCTAGCCAACCCTCTTGCCCAAGCGAAAGCATAAACAACCGACTGCCCCCCTCCCCCCAAGCTGCAGCCTGAATCCAAAGAATCCGCGCCCCACAGCCCTCGGATCACCAGAGCAGTCCCTCAGCCCTGAAGGGAAAACCAGGGGCCGCAGTGCAACAAGTGCCAGCTCGACCGGCCTGCTAAGTACTTGGTAAGTGCGCAGCTGCCAAAGTGGCCAAACTGGCATTGAGATGAAGGCATTTGCCAACATGGCCATGGGTCAAAATCCCGTACCCCCAGTGAACATCCCAATCCCCACTAAAATTGGTTCTAAAATGGGTGGTGAACTCACCTACCAACCAAAATGGGATCCCATTGGTTTTGACCCACAGCCACATGTTTTTCTCCCCAATGTCCATCCTTCCGGCTTCCTGATCGCTTCCAAATCTTGCCCAAGGGGCGGCTGATGGCTAAGCTCCGCATGGCCTGGAGGTCTCGCAGAAAGGGCGTGGCCCAAAAACACTTCCGGGCTCTTGGGCTGCTGGGCTGCGGACGGGTCTTGTGGCTTAGTCGCGGACATTGGAACGCAGCCCAGGGGGGAGGGCTTGGAACGAAAAGAAACAACAAAAAGGGTCGGTGCCGCTTGGGGCAGTGTCACATTAAGCAAGCCACTCCGCTACAGCCAGTTCCAAAATGTGCGGGTCTTTGTAGCCAAAAATGCGCCAGCGAAAGAGTAACCATATCCGCCTCAATGTCTGCCTGCATAATGGGTAATTAGAAACTTGATGATTGGTTTGCCTGAAATTTGTTAACAACAGAACCCTGAGATTCGCGCGAAAATGATCGACATGACATGGAACCCAGAGACATCTTTTGTCAAGGTAGCCCCTCCAGAAAACCCACGCAAGCTCTAGCTCTTCTCAATGAGCCATGGTCCTCATGAAGTGCAGGGCGCCCCTGTGTTGAGAGAAAATGGCAATCATCCTCTTCCCCAATGGGGCCATTGCACCCTCCTGCGTCCAAGGCACCAGCCGGGCAACCACAGGGCGCAAGCGGGCGCGCGCCAAGCAACAAGTCTCTCCCAGGCCTCTTGGCTATTGGCAAGCCTAGTCTGCAGGTTCGTTCGCTAGTGCAGCGACAACTCATTGCTTGTGCTGCAAGTTCATGTTCACTGCAGCTACTTCTGCTTCAAGAACAGGTGGCCTGGCCTGGTAACATGCGCATGGCACAAAGCCTATCAACACCTTGCATATCACCCCTCTCTGAGGCACCAAGCGACTGAGCCAAATGTGGAGGGAAGCGGTACGGGCGGAACAACAAAGTTCCAAGCTGGCAAGTCAACTCGGGGACACGGCATCCAATGGGTGCATTGAGGAGATGGCCCCCATTCTCTTTCCTCCGAGCCACTAGTCACATTGCAACAGCTGTTCCACACTCTGCACCACACATCGGAGGCTTGTACTGAATCTCGGAATGCTGTGGGCTAGGGCCAGCCCGACTCCGCAAATACTAATTTTGCGGCAATTGGCAGAAGACAAATCCCAAGCCAAAAAAAACGAGCTCAGCTATCTAGTTGTACAGCAGTTTGTTTGAGCCCAGGGCCGCACTCCCGAAGCTCGGCCAAGCGGATTGGCCAGTTTGAGATGCGGTTCAGTGGCTCAGGTCCCGCCACGCGCCCCGGATTGCAGTGTGCTAAACTCAAAAGAAACACCATAAAACAAATCTTTTTGGTTACCCCGGGCTGGGGTCAGCTTGCATGGGCCAAGCAGAAAGCTGCCACTCGGAAGGGCCTCCGCCTGGCTCTGGGTGCTGTCTCTGCACCTCGGCTCGGCCAGGCCGCTGAGTCCCACCTCTGGCGTCCGTTCCCCGCGAACTGCATGACCTGTTGCCTGGAACGCTTCCTGGGGAGGCTTGCTTTCAAATGGGACACTGGGCCCCCCAACGTCGAGCAGCCTGAGGTCACTTCCGGCGAGGGCCAAGCTTCAAAACATTTACTACGCAATGTTGGAGCGCACCCCCTTGCAAGGCCAAGTGTGAGGACATGGTTCGCATTTTGCGCCTGATGAGGTTGGTTCCAAATCAATCTCTCACATTATCTCACCACAAAAATTGTCACTGCTCGCCCCGGGGCATTCGTGTGGGTTGAGGCTCGCTCCCCAAAACAACCACCCCTTCTTGCTGTGCCGTGGCGAGTGTAGGCAGGTACGAGCCCCAAACATATTTTCCTCATGTCACATAGACATCTGGGTTTTTAGGGGTTCCTCCCCTCCAGAAAGTGAACTTGGCGGGCAAGGTGGGAGCACGCACAAAACCTGCACCACAGCCTTTTTAGAAACCAAAATGCGCTCGGCTGCATGAAAAACCGGGCTCAACCCTTGTTCCGGCCACAAGTTGAAGTGAGCAGCAGCTCAACCCTTTGACCCTTGTCCTTGTCCATCTGAAAACAAAGCAGGTCAGCCAGCTATCAAACGTCCGAGGCTTCAAGTGGAACCTGTCACATCTGCAGTGCTACCCAGTGAATGGGGAAAAACAACTGCTGGGCAGTGTGCTCAAGCGGAGGGTTGGGCAGGGTTTGAGCCAGCACCAGGCAAGCAAGCCACTCTCGACTCCTTACCGCCGGTGGAAGCGAAAAGGCGGCCACGGCTTGGCCGTGCCCCGGCATCCAGTTGATCTGAAAGCTGGGAATTTGGCCAGAAGGCGTTCAAAGGCAAGAGGCAGGGTGGATTGCCGTGTTTTTTGAAAGTACACCAGCCACAAACAAACACGGCTCCCCCATGAATGAACTGTGGAAAAGTGAGTCGTCCAAGCGCAACTGCAGAACACAACCTTGCAGCTCAATCTGGAGGGCCATTGGTGCCAGTGGCCTTCCCAGAATTCATGAAAAGGAGATGCCGACTTGCTGTAGCCTTCGTTGCAGCAAGCCAGTCTGTTATCCAGCTTTGACGGCTTCAAGCATCTAGGTCTCCAAGCATGTCCCTTTCTTCTGCGGGAGTTGCTGCAAGGCCAAGACATCTTGTGGGTTCAAAAGGTGCCAACAATTGACAAATCCAACAACCACGCCACGGTTTGCATCCTCCTCCTGCACAGCTTGCCACAGTGAGAGCAAAGATCCCTGTCCCAAACGCACCCGCACACGGATTACTTTCACAGTCTAAACGGGAAAAAAAGAAAAAAACAAACTAGGAATACACCCACTGAGGCACATTTCCGGATAAAACCGTGTTACTTTGAACCATTCTGGGTCATTTCCCAAGGGTGTAACCTCAGGGTGTAATACAAAAACCCTCAGACACAGGGGCGTACATTGTTGCAATAAGTTGCAATCCCCTTCGTCCATTTCAACAGGGCGGATGCTGCTGGCCGCTAGCGCCCCTATGCAACGTCCCATGCTTGAAGCCGCTGCCAAAGTCCTCCCGCCATGGCGAGGACTCGGACTGGAAAACATCCATCACCCTTCACATTGGCCAAGCATCTTTTGAAGAACTTGCGGAGTCACAGAGCACAAGCCGCTTTTAAGCATTGCCATAAAGATACCCCCGCATCCGGGGGCCGGCAGCGAGGACCCAAATGCACACGCTTGAAATCCCAGATGGCCCAAGTTGGGAGTGATAAGAGTCGCCCAGAAACATCCGGGAGCCATGGTAAAATCGTGCCATGCACACAGGAAGACAAGCCGCAAGGCTGCCCTGGTTGCTGGCCATCGGCTAGCTTTACAAGGCAGGAAGCATTCATCTAGTGGGCGGGCTCAGCTGTAGACGTGATGTGGTCCGGACATGACCTTGGTCAGTTCAGTCCCTCCTGACTTGAACAGGCCAAGAGGCGTTGATCTGCAGAATGCAGGCACACCTTTAAGGCACCTCCCCACAAGCCAAGCACTTATGACATGCGCCCAATTCTGGAAAAAATGGCCTGATTGTTCCGTGATACAACACATCCAAGCTGTTTTGGACCTGGTAGGTCAATCAAGTGACTCTCACTGCTTCTGCTTGCCAGGGTTAAGTACAAAGTTACCTGTCTCAGCTTTACATAGTTAGGAGCTAGGACTCGCCAATAGTAAATAGGAATGCATGAAGCTGGAGGCACGCAGAGTGCAGTTTGCAGGATTTGGGTCTTTCTTGGAACGGACCCTTCTTTGAAGTTGTTTTCGAGAGGAGAGGAAACAACATAATTTGAGGCGCCTGCCTGGCGGTTGGTGTTCTGTTTGTTTCTTTGTGCTTTCGTGTGTGGGTGTGTTGACGTGTGTTGCATCGAGTTTCTGAGCTTCATTCATGTTGTTTGCCAAGTTTCTCTGCCAAGCACAGGTACAGTACCATGGCATCCTTTACATTGGCATCCTTTACATTGGTACCAAGCATAGGTGCTAGCCCTCCGAGCTCCGGGCGCAGCCGGCCGCGGGCTCGGCGCCGGGCTCTCGGCCAGCGCCTCCCGCAGCAGCGCCAACATCTGGGCGACGGCTGGAGCCACGGAAGGGCGCTTCAGACGCTCCATCCATTTCGCACTTTGGAAACGGCTGAAACCATTGTGTATCCATTTGTATGGTTGGCATTTACAGGAGGCTCGTCATTCCATGATTTCTTTGGTGCAGGATTTTGTCCATCCACAGGGTGCTAATTTAATCCATGTGTGGCTTGAAAATGGGCTCCTGCTTGGGGAAGGCAAAGGGCTATCGCTGGTACGAGTTTGCCGCTGTTAGCCACGGCCTGACTCAACGCGAGGTGCGCAGCGGCAAAGTCGCCATGCTCGCCTGACACGGATCGCGCCCTTGGCATGTGAGGTCACGAAGGTTTAGCAAAAGGAGCTGCCTTATCCAATCCATATCGTGGGATTCGTAAGGTTGGCAAAGAGGGCGTCTTCAAGGGGCCCCTCCCAGCCCCCTCACGCCTGTTCCGGCGATCTGCCCCGCTTCAGGTGGATCCTGCACCTCCGCGGGGTGACTGGCTACGAGGCATGGGACAGCCCAGCAAATGCGTAAAGAACACCCCTCGTTGTGGGTCGTATCGTGTCTGAGTCTGGACGAAGCTGGTCCAAAACAGATTCCCTTAGAGTAAAACCCCAAAACTGCAACTCGCACAGGGCGAATAGCAGTGCGCGACACGAATCCGAGAGATAAGTGTAAACAAACGTTAAAACTCCACTAATGCGTGGGGTTGCGACTGCCAATCCACTCAATGACTCAAGTCTTTGGCATCACGAGGAATGACCGCCACAGACCTCCACCCCTGCACCACCGCCAACAAGGCAAATCGTGATGAACAAGCGCAGCACGACACCTCGACACCATGCGCAAAATAGGTAAGACGGTAAGACCCGATGTTCAGCGCCTGCATTTCGGCCGATGCAGGCAATCCCTCCTCACAGCCTGCAAGGTGGTGAGCTGCCGGACGACGTGAGTGAAGTGCCTTCCACCTTTTTTCGCGCACTTTTGCATGTTTGCCTGTTTGCTCCCTACCCGTGTGATCCTGCGGATGCACGCAAATGTCTGTGTGTGTGTGTGTGCGCCGCACATCCATGCATCCGGGGGTAGCAACCAGGACCTAAGGCAAATGTTGCAAACGTCACTGTCTATCCATTGCACTTGCATCCTCTCCTTGTAGGCCACACTGGGACGCTCCGCTAGCGTCCATCATTGCCACCTGATTGTCATCGACCCGTCGGTGCCATGTTGCAGTGGCACAAGTATGTTGCTAAGTTGCCAAGTGAATTCGCAAGCAATTTTACCCATGTAAGGTTCTTGGCTGGTTCTTGCAAAGGGTGATGCCATGCCACCTTACACGGTTCTGAAAACAAGCTTGTCCTGACCCCTGTACAAACAAAGTGTGGGCTGCAACATTGGTTTGCGGGCGTGCGGCCATCTGGTTTAGGTGAACCAGCTCGATCAAGCAACGGAATCTGTTGCACTGCTACATCTGAAATGCCAGGCAATCAGTGCATCAGCACAACATGCTGGCGCATGAACACGTTGCCATGGCAATTCAGAAAGGTAAGAGCATTCCGATGAGCCCTGCCCGTTGGGTGCCCAATTCGCGGGCACGTGCGTTGCTAATGCATTCCTCCTTTCTCGCTCTTCCTCGCCCTTCACTGTGAATGCACAACAAGCCGCAATCGGCAAACTTCCTATTCGCATTCATGCAATCCTTCCGTGCCTCCTCCAGTCGTTCTGGCTGCTCTTGGTGTGCTTCCGAACTATCACCTCGAGGCATCTAGAGCAAAAAAGTATGCATATGCTGACCTACCCACATACCGCAAAAACCATAAGTCCGTGGTTCTGAATTATGGATCATGCTGGGATACTGGGGTCCAACCCATGGCCATCCCATTCGCCTGTGCGTAGCGTGTTGTGCTTGAAGCTGACAAAGGTCCATGGTTGATATCTTATCCACACCAACGTCACTATCTGCAAAACAAGTTTTCACCATGGGAAAGGTTGTTTCTCCTGAACTCTCCCCGGACACCTCTCAATCAGTCACTTCTCGAATCACGGGATGAACGCCAAGTAGCACGTGTCATGTCGCTTGTCCCGAGTGAGTAACGCCAACCACTCGCCAACCCACTTGCAGCATGCTCTGTCCTGAAGGCACATTAGACATCTTAGCATGAAGGCAGATTTGTCTCAAGTGGAGTTTGCCCATCTTCCTTGGCTTAGCCAAAGCCATTTGCCTGAGGCCCCCCCCCCCGGGCCCTCTCAAGCCTGGGCCTCGGGCAAACCGCCGGCCCCGGGTCGCAGCCGCTTCCGGAGGCTGGCAGTTCGGCCTGAGTCCGAATGCTTTCAGCGACATCCCACCCTTGGCCACGCGGGACTACCCCCAAGAATCTTTGTTTCAGGCTCGTGAAACTCCGCAGGCTGATTCTGCACACTTGAGCAGTCAAAAACCATTTCAACAATGGCAATGGGTGCCTTTGGGGGCGGTAGCATGTTGAATGCCGAACCGGTTGGCGGCTGCCAAACTGCGCAATATTCCACATGAGCATTGGCAGTGCACATCCAGAAAACTGAAAACTGAAGAGGCTGCAAAACTGAACCTGGCTTGTCTCACCGCCGTACTGTCCAGGCCTCTGTCTCCGTCACTTCTCCTGCCAAGTGCCAAGGGCGCAGAAGCTGTGCCAAGAGGGCACCAAGGTGTGTGACATGGCGGTTGGCGTCCTAGAGGTCGCCGGTAGGGGACATGGGTGAAGCTTGCCGATAGATTCAGAACCGATGGTCAAGTGTGCCACTTTTAGCAAGAAGTACCACAGCAGGCCAGGCTAACAGGATCAACAAGCAAAGGGGTTTCAAAACCATCCCGCAACTACCTCCCTCAAAAGCACAAGCCCGACTCAGGATGCCCAGCAGGATTCTGGTCGGGCCGCTCGCCCCTTTGCTCGATGACACGGTTCATGAACAAGCCGAATGTCTTTGTGCGAGGCAATGACCTGTGGGGTGCCTCTCCGCCATCTGAGGATCAAAGTGACAACGGGTGATGAAATGTGTCCCCAGCCAGCGAATGAGAAGGCTTCGGCCAGGACAGGCGTGGTTGGACTCCCCCCCCCCAACAGATCCCTCCAGCCCGTCCTGGCAGCGCGAAGGCCTGCCCAACAGCCTGCTCAGCACTGGGGGGCTCATAGGTTGGGTGTGGCTTGACCTGAGAGCCAGGACTACATTCAAGAAATTAACTGTTTAATCAACACCACACTTGAACACAACCTCAGGCTGTCATCACTCACATGCAAGCGCAAGCAATCTCCGGGACCGGGATATCATGGCGTCATGCGCACCATGCGTCTTTCAGACCAAGCACTCCGCCTCGTCCTCCACACAGGGCTCTCCGGGCTCTCCGGGCCCCTGCCACATGGCGGCGACAGCTTGTTTTAAGGAGTAAGTCGTCTGGGGTGGCCAGAAGCTGCTTAGAATATCGCAGCAAGCCAGCAAGCACGAGACAATCGCCGTCAGAACAAGCGGTGGGTGTCAGGGGTTTTTGGGCTCTGGCTCAGGAACCCGGGCTCTTCCCTTGCATTGCTGAAAAAAAGAAATACGTCGAGCCGCCTTGCCCGCCGCGGGGGAGACCGAAAGGGCCAAGGAGTGTGTCACAGTCAACTGGCCTCCGGCCATTTGACAGCAAAAGCAGCATAAAAGTGGCGCGACACCTCATCCCTCCATCCTCCGTGCTTCATTTATGTGACTTCCTCTTTACATCACGCGATAAAGGTGCAAATGTGCCGGAACTTGTGGCGACCCCCTTTCCCCCGGTCCGCAACCTCCGGAAAACTCCAGAGCTTCGGGCAAAGTCTCCATAGCATTCAGCTGTTGCGGAAAAAATGGGTTTGACAGCTTTGCCTAGCCGCGTTCTCGCCTTCCTCTCCGGCCACGCGGTTGATCTTTTAGGGCCCCGGCAGGAGCTCTGCTCTGCGGGATCACCCCCGCAGCCATCGTCGGTTGCTTCACCAACCTGGCAAACGTGAGACAACACTAGCAATTTTGCATGCTGCACATTACATGCCAAGTCCTCAACAAAACCAAAACTGATTTGCTTTGGCTAGGCCAGGTGAGGGGACTGAATGCCAACTCAGATTGCTACCAAGTGGAGTGGGTGTGGTTTGCTTTGTCAACCCTGGGGCAGCGCCACGGGCAATTCACATGGCAGTGGGCCTGGCAAGATACCTCCCTTGGGGAGTCGTCCTGCAAGAGCCGTGCAAGCCTTGGCATGTGCAGTCAGCAAACGTTGAGACCCAAACCTGGCAGGCAATGGGTTGTTCCAGCATCAACCGCAACAAACGCTAAAAAACGTACTAAAGCGGCCACCTATTGATGGCCAGGGCTGTCCCTTACTAACCTTCACTTATGACCCGTGTGCCCAGCAAATGTCCAGACCGTTTCGGCAAGGGAACTTGCCATTGCTGATTAGAACGGGTCCACGGTCCTCCTTAAGCATCTTCGAAGAGACACCAGGGCGAGCTAACAATAAATTACCAAACACGAAGCCTTTAGACCCAACTGCAGCAGCGACTATGAACGCCCTTTGCCGACCAAACTCCCGTATTCAAAAGGAATGGCTCCTCCGCCCGTTCCTGCTTCCGCTGATCCCTGGTGGGAACAAATATCCTCAGCTTAACATCGGCGCTCAGCTCATGTGCTGCGCTGGAGATATCTTGGGGGCGGAATGATCAGTTTACCATCGGCCAGGCGGCTCACCCAAGCGCATCGACCTGAGCAGGAGCCATTGCCCCTGGGCGAATGCCATTGAACTGATGCAAACACCTCATCTGCCTTCCAGCCCTGTGCCCTGCAGTTGCAAAGCGACTGCCAAAGGTCCTACCCTGGCTTCAACAAACGCACCAACCCTGGCTGCCCTTCCGGGTCAAACTGAGCTAGAGCAACGTACCAAAATGTCAAGAAAGCACGCAACAGAAGCCAGCAACTGTATCTTCCGTGGCCTCCGAGCCTTCGCCCACGTGACTTCAAACGAGCCGACACTGAAGGAAGCCTTCTTGAGGACTCCATTGGCAGTGGCTGTTGGCTGTGGGGCCTCTTATTCCAAAGCGAGGTATAGAACGACGAACAGGATCCCAGGCCACCCTACGATTGTTTTCGGAGGGGGTTGTCTGACAGGCTCTGCGATGACAGCTCTTGGCCCCGGACGCTCGGAACAAATGATCCAAATCTGGGGCGGTGTCAGACAACTAGGAAACAGACCACCGTTGTGAATGTGCCATAGGCCATCCAGGGTGCTTTGCTGCATTCTTACGCTCACCTCCCGAAGCATAGACAGGGGTTGGTGGACCAAGCCCTGTGGCGGCAAAAGAGCTAAATTGGTTGCTGCGCGCCGCCGAACAATCTATCTTGCAGCAATCAAAGCACGGTGTGAAACAAAGACTTGTGGTCGCCACCCTCTCAATCCTGATGTCAGAGGAGGCATCAAAAACAAAACAAACAAACACATGGAAAGTAAGCCTGGCCAGCCTATCCTCTCCCAACTGAAAAATCACCAAACTCGCATTGCATTGAACGCACTGTCAAGGCGGAAGATCGTCACTCCGCAATCGCCAACGTGACTCCCAAGGGCCAGCGTTGGCGTCCTTTGACCCTCAGGTTGATTCCTGTGGCGCTGTGGTGGGGGTCCCGTTTTTGCAGGGGTTGCTTCCCTTCTTCCGAAAAACAACTTTTATGAGTCCGCTGGGCTTCATGGGCCGGAATATTTACCTGCAAAGCTGCCGTGGCCCCCGACCCTCAGTGCCAGCATCGCTAGACGCAGGCCTCGGGAACATGACAATGTGTTGCGTGCAATGTGTCTCAAGAAGTAAAGAACAACGTGCCCGTTTTGCCGAGTGGATTGTGGGAAATTAGGGTCCTGATTCCCACTGCAAACAGCTTTGGGAATTTGCCATGCCTGACTCTAAACAGCAGGCTGCGACTCAGCATTTCCTACTCCTTACCTAATCCCAACATCCCACCAAACGAACGGCCCAAGCCAGTGGTCTGACGGGCCAGCAGTTGAGCCGAAACCTCAACGTCAAATTTCCTACAGTACTGTTTTGAGAGGACAATGTTGCTGTGTTGGAATGAGAGGTCCCCTTATTCAGGAGCAGTGGGCACTCAAAGAACACTCTTTAAAATTTAGCTAGGCTGCATCAATTCTGCACAAGCGCCAGCAAGCGCCTCAAACGCTTCTAAAAGCTTCTCCTCAAAGATAAGAAAGCAATCAAGACACAGCTCAACCATTCCTTGCCTGGCTCTTGCCAAACTACCTAGCATCCTAACATCCCGCAAATGTCAGCACGAAAAGGCGAGGGAAAGTGAGAAACCCATCCGATTCTTGTGATGCCAAAACACGACCTTTTGACGTCGGAGATCGGCAAGGCCGGGATCATCCATAGAATGCAAAGCTCAGGCCGAAAATGCCAGCGCTCTGGTGAGCAAGCAAGGTGAAGAGGTCGTTTGGTCATGTGCACTTGGTGCGGCTTGATTCTGGTTGCGCTTGTCTCAAAGCAGAGACTAACAAAGTAAACAGTATGCGGCGTTGCCTGCCAATGCCCGTTGCCAATTGCCACTCTTTGGTCGTGCATTGTCTTGAGCCAGCTGGCTAGGCGTGTGCTGACTCGTGGGCATGCAAGTTGCCAGGCATGGAGAAGGGACCACCTTGAAGATGTAGTGTGATGGCCAGCCCAAACAAAAAACTTTTGAATGGCAGGTTGAACAGTGACAAACTCGTGCTGAGCCGCTAGGCTCTTCAACGTTCAAGGTCTATGTGATGACTCGGTGACTCTTCATCCAAAGGATGCTGCTACCATCTCACCATCATCGTTGCCACAATGGGAAGGATAAGCGCTCAGTTCATTGATGGCACTGGTCTGCCCAAGCAAGGAAGGATATCTGCTGACTTTGCGCTGGTCGTGGGGACCCCTTGCTTTGCTTGGCCTGGTGCTGCAGCAAAATGCATTTGAGGACGACCTTTCGACGCACAGCCCTCAATTGTGCACAAAGAGAGAGAGAGAGAAAAAAAAAAAAAGACAGAGAGAGTGAGAGAGCGAGAGAGAGAGAGAGAAAGAAAAAGAGGGAGAGAGAGAGAGAGAGAAAAAAAAAAGAAAGAACAAGAGGGAGAGAGAGACAGAGAGAAAAAAAAAAGAAAGAAAAAGAGGGAGAGAGAGAGAGAGAGAAAGAAAAAGAGGGAGAGAGAGAGAGAGAGAGAGAGAGAGAGAGAGAGAGAGAGAGAGCCACTCGACTCGGGAAAAAGACGTCACCCCTGCTCCCCCTTTGCCCCGCTTCCAGCCTGAAGGGGGTGCAGTGGTGTGCGCCTTCGAAAGGCAGCTCGTCGCTGGGCCAGTCAGTTGCTTGGGTGCGGGGTGGAGGGAGGGTGTTTCTTGTTTTTGCTAGTTGTTGATTCCAATAGATCCCGCACACACTGCTACAAGCCCCGAACATCTGCCGTGGCCAAGGTAACGCTTGCGCGGGTATCCTGCCTCTGCATTTATGCCCTTGCCATTCCACGAGCCTCGGAGTGACTCGTGTTGTCACAGGTTGCCAGCTCAAAGTAGGCTTTGCTCATTCATCGCCATTGTCAACAACCAATTCTCAAATGAGCATGGAGGGCAGTTAACAATACCTACACCGTAGGCAAAACTGCGCGACCTGGATTGTGCAATTAAAATAATGCTGAAATGCTGTTCAAAGCAGGCAGGGCCTGCGGCGATACTCCTCTGTTGAATGCCTGACTGTCTTGACGTTCCCGTTCTGATTCGTCAATGTCAGCCCGCTGTGTTGGGACCCCCCGCTTGGTGAGTCGGAATGCTCAAGCTGCGACATCGGACCTGACCGAAGGCCCAAGAATCCAACAGGTCCTGCCCACCTCCACCTCTGCCACGCGGGTCCACGAAGCAAGGGTCAAGCGTGGGTCCATTTTACTCACCCCAGTTTCTAAAGAAACCTTGATGTGGACTCTCATGCCAACTTTTGGTGTGGGAATTGTTTTTCTTAGTTTCTTAGTATTGAGCGCCGCTGCTTGCTGCTTTGGAGCTGATTGTAGCGACTTGGGTTGCCCTATGGCTTGGTACAAAGTGTTTTTGTTTTTTTTTCTGCTGGCTTCTGGGTGGCAAAATTCAATAAGTTCCAAAGCTAAAGCTATTGAGCCAGCTCCCAGCCAGACTAAAACCAAGCACGTGTCGATATCTGGCGAAATAAATTTATCGTCAGCTTCCAACTTTGCACGCGCAGAACCGGCACGGCAAGTGGCTGGATTGGCAGTTGACTTTGCAGTTCGAGCATATGTCCAAATTATCCACAGCAGGCCAGTGCAACAATTTGGTAGCCACATGTAGCCACTCACTCCAAAGTCAAGTCTAGAAATGATTGTTCTTCTTCTAGTGCTTTGAGCCTTTTGACTGCAAAACACTAGAAAGAACACCTGAAAGACTGAAAACACCTCTCTCCGACGAGAAAGGTTTGGCAGCTCCATCTGTCTGGAACCAGGTTGCTTCAGGTTTTCCGTTTTCGTTGATTTCTCCTTTTGGTTGAAACAAACAAAGCTTTTGATTTCTGGACAGGCGTCCCGAGGTGGAGTGGCTTGCATGGAAATCTAGCTCCTGTGCAGCTATGAAATAGTTGTATCTGTATGATACATGGAATATGACATGTCATGCGCCATCTAAAAATAGATACTTGCGGAGAATGTAGACATTTGGCAAAGTGACAAAGGCAATTCAGGGCCAACATTGAAAGATACCCTTTGTTAACAGCTGGAACTTGCCAAGACTTGCCGCAAGTTTGGAAAGTAAGCTATGCCTGCAGGATGTTGAACATGTCTGGGAATGTTTAAAGGGATTGCCATGAAACAATGGTGTGTGCCTTGCTTCAGTCAAAAGACAATTGTTGGTGTTTACTCAACTCTTGAGTCATGTCCATCTTTTTCCCAGCCTTGCTGCCTCTGCACAGTCCAAATGAAGCGCTTGAAAGTGTTTCAAAGCCGCTTTGACAGCAAAGCTGATTCGCAGGACTCGCGAGTTCGAATCTTCAATCCAGACTCCAGAGCCTTTTCGGAGGGAAGTGCCACACCGAAATGACAAACGATGGGCGAGGTATTGGAAGGCACTTGGAGTAGCAGTTGCTATGTCACACTGCACAACCACAAAAACGACAACACCTGAATCTGGACATAGATATGGAGCTGCTGATATTCAGCTGTTCAGTTTTGCTCTGGACAGGGACAGGAATTGAGGACTGAAGGGGAAGCTGCAGGTGGGCTGTCTGCAAACTGCGGGTGATGGGGCTAGCAATAATTTATGCAGTGCTCGGCTTGCAGCTTTCCATCATCCCCTCAAGTGGGAGACTTGTGCACTAAAGGGTCAAGTGCTTACAAGGCTTGTCTGAAACACTCCTAGCACAACCTTTCTGGCTGCTGGCCAACAGTTTCACGTCAAACTCTCTAGGCAACCAGCAGCGAAGAGCATTGTGAATGAAAGAAAGGCAGCTCCAACGCTATGCTTGAATGTTCAATCCAAAGTAGGGAAGTGAATCTTGGTCGATACTTGGGGGGAGGTCTGAAGGTAACTTTCAACACCACAATGGAACTGAAACCTAAATGCCCCCAAGCACTTCGGGAGTGGAGGGGCAAATGGAAGGAAACTCAGGCAAGACCAGCTTCGCTACGTGGGTGGCCACACCAGAACACATGCTCGTTCAACAACCAGGACCCAATCTTGTCATGCTACGAGCTGTCAGGCCAGTGCCTCTTGCAGAGTTCAGGAGTACCAGTCCGAATGGCCCGTGGGCAGTGTGTCGAGACCATAACCAACACGAACGTGCGCCGACATGCCAGGCCTCAACACATGTTGGGACAGACCCCACTTTGGAGGCTGCACCCATCCCAACTCCCAAATTGAGCCACAAGCCGGATCAGTTCGATTGCCTGAGACCCCGAGTGGCCAAAGCAGCAAGATGCAACGGGAACCAGAAATCAAAGGCGTATCTTTTGAGACCAGGTGTGGGCCCAAAGCTAGCAAACCAGAAGGTACACAGGACTTGGACTAGGAAAACTCAAGAACAACAGGCGGGGTCGGCAAGCATTCTTACAAACATGTTTAAACCTCTACCCTGGCACGACTTTTGGTTGCCCTTTGAAGGAGACCAATGCATATCCGATATGTTTGTTTAAACATTTGTTCCCGAACCATGGCTGTGTGACCTCAGCCGCTCTTTCGCTCCCAGCCGCTGGAAAAAGCCAGGCCGCCGTCTTGGCGGCCCGGGCCCAGGAAGACAAACCAATGCGTTTGAAAGCTTGCAATGCTTTGCCACCTCAGGTTTCAGGCGAACTGGAACTTCGTGACTGCTCACATGCTTCTGTTGGACGGGGCAGGACCTTAGGACTGAGCTCAAGGGTTGAACTGGGGGCCCTCTGGGCAAGCGCAGGCGGCCACCTGGCAACGGGTCCGCCTGCGCCGGCCACGTGAGGGCCTATTTCAGATTGAGAAAGCCGATGCAGAACTGCTCAGCAAGTGCCTGCGGCTGCAATGCAAAGAAAGTGCATCAGCTCAGCGTGCACGTTCCCAACTCAATTGACGCTTTTGAGGCCCCAACATGCGGGGGGGTTGGACCCCAACATGTCCAACCAAGCGCCAAGTATCGGTTTGAGACAGGCATCGCGTGCCTTTCCGCATATGCCAGGGCAATCTGTTGGCGTCACATTGGTGGCCAAGGTGTGTCTTCAAGCAAGTGTGGCGACGAGCCTGCAAAAGCTATAAGCCGACATCTACTCTTGGTTGAGAAGCCGCAACTACATTTAAGCAAGGCATGACACTGCATTCAATCAAACTAACAAAGACCGTTGCAGGCCCAGCGCATGCCATCCAAACATAAAATTGAGAAAACCATGTCTCAAAAGCTTCCAAAGAAGCAAACTTGCAATGGGCATTGTCAGTGCTTTGCCACCTCCACTATCCAACCTTACCTTTCCTTTCTTCCTTCCCCCGCCCCCCCCCAAAAAAAAAAAAGAAAAGAAAAGGGACAAAAACGGGAAGGACCAAAAAACGTCAGCAGCAAACAGCAAGGCGATGAATTATTAAAGCATGACGCTGAACTGCTTGCTGGGCCCGCTGGCCCACAGACAATCACAGCCCAGAAGCTCCTGCAGAGCTCCACCCATCCACAGGCCTGCCGCGCCATGAACAAATTGTTGTGGCCCTCGTACGAGACCTCAGGCCGCACCCGTCTGATGCACACACGCCCTGGCAGTGGACAAATTTGCTGCACGCCGTTCACCTCCCAGATGCTCCTCTACGTGAAGAACAGTAAACTTGTCAATTTGGTTCAATTGCACCCTCGGCAAAGCTGAGTACAATCATTGCTTGGCTTCTCCGCCCCCAGCCAAAAGGCGAGAATTGAGCAGCAAACCAGTTGACTGCGGCGGGCTGGCACTGGGTTCTGATTGGGTCGGGCATCTCAAGATCTATGGCAACATGCCAAGCCTGAGTGCTTGCCAATACCAAAGTCTCCAACAGCCAACCCCTGGAGCCCGGCCGTGACAAAGGCGCGCGTTCGGGGAACGCCCTTGTCGCCCCAGGAGGCAGGCACCGCGACCTGCTCCACCCGTTTTGCGCCGGGGATGTTGTGACTCACAGGGTGAAGGGTGGTTTGCAAGGCAGTGGGGGTCGCTTCGTCGAAGTTCTTGCCGCGGCGCACTTGCTTTGCCCAACGGGTGTGGCGGAGCTTGCGTAAAGGGGATCTTGTGGATCTTGGCATTTCTTCGAAATTCAGGGATAGGGCTCGTGATTCGGGGCTCGGTTTAGGGCTAGGACCTGCCAGGAGACTAAAACTCGTGCATCTGGAGTCCCGCTCGCAAAGATAAGGGCAACAGCTGGCCTGCATGCCGTCCAGCCAGCAAAGCACGCGACCTGGCACAGTGCGAAGCCGGAGAACAAGCGCTGCCAGTTGCAGCTGGCTGAAACTGCTCATTGATTCTGCTGATGCGGTACTTCTGAAGATGTGTGCTTGGCGCTGCTTGGGCATCCTGCGACAACAGGTTGCATGCTACCGCATGGTTCTGATTTCCAAAGACCTGCAAAAATTACCCCGTATATAAGTCACGAAGGCGCGTTTTGACTTGCGAAATGCACCGCGTGCGGCCAGCGGCCAGGGTCCCCCGCTGCCGGTCTCAGCGCTAGCAAGCTGCACCAGAAAGTCGACCTCCGCGTTTTGTGATTTCCTCTTTCTGCGAGGTACCCATAGCAAAGCAGACTCACACGGCGTAAGCACTGAATATCACAGAATATCCTGTGCACGACCTTAAGAATGCAGACAGCCATGTGAGGCACATGCTGTCACTAGGCAGCAGAACAAAGGCAAACAAGTTAAGAAGAGGCAGTCCGTTGTTTTGTCCTTCGATGATGTGTGCCACAACCCAGTATGCGCAAATGTTGTGAAAATATCCCAACTAGCATGACACAACAAACGCACATAACACCTGCAAAGCGGCAACTCGAGTGCAGTCTGCACATCATGGAGGTTGATTCTAATGACTCGGCCAACGGACTCGTGTCCGCTCTGACTGCAGCTGTGACCGCTGCCTGCCTCCCTGCTCGCACTGAGCTACTCTCTGAGCCCATCGCCACTCGGTGCTGCTCGTAGATGCTCAGATCCACCGGCCTTTGGGCCGCTGCTCGCCGGCACCATGCTGGGCAAAGCACCCATTCCCCCCAGCACACGGCAGCATGCAAATAGGACAAAAGCGAAAACACTTGTGCGCAGTGAAACAATGAGGAACAAGGCCCGCACATCAACTGACTCAGCCATCGCTGCATTCAGGAGCCAGCATTCGAAGCACCTCGGGCTTGTAGGGGTTCAGCAGGTGGAGGACTCCCAACCTCAAGGCGTGGGAGCGGCAAGGCAGACTCGACGGACCTTTGCAGAAGCCGCACCCACTCTTAGCAAACGGCCGGCGGTACAAGGCGAGCACGTCCTGCTCCTGACCATTTCAACTGGAATGTATTGCAGGACATATCACCGAAGCGGCAAACCTGCAATTGGCCAATCGAAACTTCTTAATACCAACATCAACCGCAATTGCAAGCCAAGCTAGCTTCCACGTTTCCTGGAAGCAATTGCCATGGGTCCTGCTGCTCACTGGCATTGCCATGGTCTTGATTTATCCGGGCCTTAAAGACGATAAGGAAGTTGTAGTAGGCCGAGTTCCTCGCAAACAACGTTCCACCAACGTGAACTTGCTTTGCACAACCATTGGCAGTAAACAACATCAACCTGCTTGTAGTATCGAAATGATGGCAACTGGATGCCCTTCGCCTGGGACCCACCAAACACCTAGTGTGCTGAAAGGAGCTCGTGGCTGCCTCTGCCCTGGTGGCAAGTGGTTGATGATGGTTGCGACCCCCATCCTCACCCCAAAAGACCAAGACACAAGGGCCACAAGGGCACCCCGTTTGGAACACTATCCTGGCTGATCTCGTCACGCTGGGCTGCCCCGCGGGTCTGCGGGAATCTGAAATTTCTGATCCACTGCCAGGCCACCTCTCCGGCCCCTCAGCGAGAACAGTACTGGCCGCCGTGTTGCAACTTGCAACTTGGCACGTCGGGTGTGAGTGGTGAGGAATCTAGCTAAATTGTGACACTCAGCTGCCAAGGTCTCATTCCTCCACCTCCAACGCTCAGCGTCACCCTGCTTTAGATCAGCTAGTTGGTATTCCATGCAACCATCCGCGTGCCATGGGGAAATATCTCGAAGGCGCCAATTCCACCCTGCTAGCCACCCTCCTCGAAAGCCACGGTCACTTTTCTTGACTGGGTCGCTGGCGTGGCTCCCTTGGCAGTGCCATGCCTCAGGGCTGGGCGCCTCAAGCCTTGCGTGAGGCAAACCAAGATGACGGATCCCATAGCCTCCGAAATCAACAAACAAGTACGGCCCATGGCACCCTAGCAACAACGTCGCCTTGCAGATTGGGTCACTGATTGGAATGGCCTTGTTTTGACAACCTGTTGAACATCTTGAATGCTGCATCCAAGGACGTGCAGGCCTTTTCAAAAGAGCAGCGCCCATGGGCGTTGATTGTCCTCGATCCCCCTCGACTGAGGGCAGCACGCCCCTTGCAAGGCTGCCGCCACCATGGCGGGCATTTGCCTTGGCTATCGCATCCGGCGGAATCTTCGAGTTCAGCCAAACTGCAAACTGACAAACGAGGGGCTCCACATGTCCAAACAATCTCTGACATGCGGGCTGCAACAGGTTAGAGGATAACCAACAGTTGGCTGGCCTCAGGCAAGAGATGGCTGGCGCCATCTGCGAGCAACCTTGGAGAACTTCAGTATCTACATCTACCCGCAGACATCGTAGACATCCTCTCGACCAAGTCGTGCCGAGCTGCGCCTCAGTGCTCTTCATCTCCAGATCCCCGGTCTTGAACATGCCCCCGCGAACCATCACGGCACCCCCACGCTGGGACATGCCGATCTGCGTGACCACCACCCTGCGATGCCGAAATGGAGAGGAAGAAAACCCCGGCTCGCGCGGAACAAGAATGTGTACAGCAACTGCACACATGCAAGGCTGCCAGCAACTTGCAGTCACCACGGGGTCAACTACTCACTTTCTTGTCCAAACAGGCCAATGTCAAGCGTCATGAATGCAAAAAGAAGTGCGGGCCCAAAGCTGCACAAGCATTGCAAGCTGCCTCGGCGCTTCCAAAGTGGAAGCGCAAATGAAACAGCCGCCCCTTCTCTTCAAATTGGTAAGGCCAAGGCGGCGAGTACACAACTTCCGGGCCAAGCATTCCTGGGATAACACATTCACGTGCTCTCATCTGGTAGGTTTGCATTGTCACGGGCTATTGACTGTTCAGAAATACAGACCCCGTATATACCACTTTCACAGTGGGTATACATGTGTTTTGCCCTGGCTGGTTGATCAGGATGATGTTTGATGACAACAATCTTGAAAGGGACTCTTCGCGCCGAGCCGCCAACATAGGGCCCGCTCACAAACCAACGGTACAAACAGTTGATTTTTAATGGGGCTCCTATTTGGGGACATCAGATGTTTAGGCCCTTGGCAACATTTGCTTGCTGAAATCTATCTAACCTTCCAGTTCGTAACAATAGCCCATGCAAATTATTTAGTCAAAAGGCACAGCAGTAAGCAATGTTCTAGCGCCGTTGCTCTAGAAATTGGAAGGGCAAATCCTGCGGAGTCGAAGAAATTTGCTTGGCATTGGCTTCAACAGTTCAGAATCGAACATGCCAACGTGCCACTTTTTTGCGGGTGGACAGGGGCACCTGCAAGCGCATGGGCCGCATGGGGGGGGGGGGGGGGGGTTCTGGGTGTTTGGGGAGAGCGACTCGAGCTCTTCCCGCCCCAAATGCGCCGCGCGACTTGAAGGAAGTGATCCGAGGACCACCGAGGGGCACCGAGTCCCGTCCACCACACGCGGCCAAGCAGCGCTCGCGGTCCACCACGCGCGTGTGAAGGATGCAGAAGGCCTCCTGGCGGTCCGGCGACTCGTCGGAGCCGCCGCTCACTGCATCCGCCGACCTCGCGAAATGTCAGCGGCCAGGCTGACACCCAAGCTCAAGTCCAGGAGTCCAAATGCGAGAAACAACATGTATACAAAACTCAAACACTGCTAAAGACAGCCTGACAGCCTGCTCACAAATCCCAAACTGCAATCTGCCTCTAGGTGCCTTGTTTGCTGGGACCTTCCGCCAACCAAGGGCAAAGTTTCAGGCGGCGAGTTTCTGCAGGAAAAGCTGCCACCCGGATTGCTTGGGCGACGGCGAGCACTCTGGCGCAGCCGCAAAACACCTGCCAGGCGCATAGGTGTCTCACGTTGTCAAGGCAAGCAAGCGAATGTGCGCCTGTACAGCGCATGTTGCCAACAAAATTCCACTCTGATTGAACATAGAGCCTCTTACATTTGTGACGGCGTACTGAGCTTTGCACTGCACCAGGGCTCGGCACTGGTTGCTGGAGATGAAGATGTGTACCTTGGGCGCGGGAAGATGCTGGCATGGCAAAACGCAGCGGAACCTTTATGGCATGCCCCGAAACCATGATGTGCTTAGGGGAACGCCTTTCCTGGGGGGTCCCTCTTTTACGACAGTAGCAACGGGTGGTATGGGAAGGTTGGACTACCCACTTGCCAGCGGAAGCCCGAAAGAGCCCGACCGATTGGATAAGTGTGGCCTTTGAACAGCGAACGCAGCCCAGTGAGAGGGAAAAGCTGTGTTTCAAGTGTTTTAAGAGGCTACTAGAAGTTCACAGAAGGCCAAACAAAACATCAGAAAGACGGCCCCATTTGTGGCACCCGTGCCCCAACCTCCACCTTCCGGCCGCTTCGCTTGAGGCGCGCACCGAGGCTGCCCGTAGCGCCTGCAGCCGGGACTGGCTCGGCAGCTCCTGGCCCCGGCGGATGTTGTGATTTGTTGGCAGCGCCAGTGGGCCTGCCCAACCCTGGGTCACAACTTGCAAAACCTTCACATGCACAGAGCTGCGAGATCGACAAAGTTCTGTAAGCCCTACGGTCACGTGAATGTCACGGCGACGATGCGGCCTTGTTCCGCAAGAGCCTTGTGATCTCCTGAGCACTTGGATGAGGTGTGCCGAAAGGGACAGCACTGGGCTTGCCTTGTCAGGTTGACAATGTTTGTTTCTTGCTTTTGCTCAACCACAACGAACAAATGCGCATTCATCCGGACCACGGACAAAAACTGACACAAAACGACTCTCTGGCCTGCTCACACTGTGCTCTGATTTGGATAAGTTTCGCCACTGGCCGACATGGGGAAGAACCATCGACTTCCACATCCACCACTTACCCTTGCTACTTTTGATCAAAAGTCCATGCCTACTGGGCAGCACAAGCTTGCATTGACATTGACATGCCACGTGAGCCATGTCAGTCGCTTTAGATCCCTTGATGAGAGCGTCCCTTCCTGCGCCCGACCCTCTAGCCCAAGGCGCAGAGACCTCCGTCATGTTGCTGGCATCCGGCGGCGGGCGCCGTGTCGAGGAATAGTCGAAGCGGAGCCAGCCCCGGCTGGGGAGCATCCAGTCCTGCCATGAGCTTGGACCCTCGAAACATCCTCCAGAGTCTCAACATGTTGCCACCCGCCTTGCAAACAGCTTCAACTTGCTCTTTGAACAACAAGCATAATCCGGTGGCGCGTGGCAAAACACAATACAGAAATGCTGGCCCAAGAACGCGCTCCCAGTTGCCTGACCCCGCCAAGGATGTAAGAAGCTGATTGCCTCTCCCTATGTCCCTGAAACACTGCCAGGCGACCCTCTTGGGATCAACTAAGCAATACATCTGCACAGCCAGGCACGGGCCTGCTGCCAGCTGGTCTTGGGGATATCTTTGGCGCAAAGCGCGTCTGGTTTGCTTGGACGCTCGGCTGGAGCTCGGGCCCGCTTTTAGCCAGTGCACAGGGCCCGTGCAACACCCCCGCAGTACTTACCATGAACATGCAGGGGCAACAAATGCATGGAAGAAGCATGCCCTGGCAAATTCGCGCGAGAAACCCAATAAACCATTGGGCAATCACATTTGCAAGTACCTCACCCTGCTCAGCCACAACCTGGCTGTCCTTGGAGTACACGAAGGGCACGTCGTTGTACGCCTGCGGCAGCTTGGCTCAGATGCAAGCGAACCGCACATGCTCTTGCACGTGACAGCTCTATCAAAGAAACCAAGGCGTTTCCTCATCCCCTCGTTCTGCAAAGAGGACCTCTGGCATCGAAGACATGGTCTAAGTAAGTGTGCACTTCTCTTTGGGAAGCCCGCGTTCTTGTTGTTGTTGTTGTTGTTGTTGTTGTTGTTGTTGTTGTTGTTGTTGTTGTTGTTGTTGTTGTTGTTGTTGTTGTTGTTGTTGCTGTTGCTGCTGCTGCTGCTGCTACTGTTGCTGCTGTTGTTGCTGCTGTTGCTGCTGTTGCTGCTGCTGCTGCTGATGCTGCTGTTGTCGTCGTCATTGGCGTCGTGGTTGTTGTTGTTGCTGCTGCTGCTGCTGTTGTTGGTGGTGGTGATGGTGTTGTTGTTGTTGTTGTTGTTGTTGTTGTTGCTGCTGCTGCTGCTGCTGCTGCTGCTGCTGCTGCTGCTGTGGAGATGGTGGGCGGCGGCGGTCATTGTCGTTGTGGTCGTCGCCGTCGTCGTTTGGCTGTCCAGCGTTTCGAATCCCTGCCTCATTGCGGATCATCTCGCCATTCCCTGACATCAAGAGGACAGCACATTACCCAGCCAAACGACCACACATCAAGGTCCTGCAGCGATGTGGCACAGTCCAACATGTACCAAAAAGGATGTTCAGCAAATTTCAATGGCTGCTTCAGAGCTGGCCAAAGACGACCTTGCCGTCCATCGGTCCAAGACTGGGCTGCGCAAGCTTCAAGCTGCCTGACTGAGACACGTCCGGCCGCCCCGCCTCAGGTCAAACGCACTCATAGCTAAACAGCAACATGCCGAGATGCCGAAAGGCTGGACACTGGTTGGATGGGTGAGTACCACCTTCGGAGGTCTGGTTTGGTGTGGAAGCCCTTCACTCGTACACCTGCACATTCTTGCTCGACCAAACTGTTCCCTGCATGCACAAGCCAAACTGCCAGGCGCCCAGGCGCTGCGTGCCGACTCAGACTCCCAGGCGTTGACCAGCAAGCAAGCCTCCTAGGGCCGGTATAGCGGTATGGACCATCAAGGCTGGCCTCGCTATGAAGTTGGGTCTGAGAGGTTGGTGGAGCATACGCAAAGTTGGTTCACGCAGGCCAGTTCATTCACTGAATTCCAGACCAACATGGCGGGGTGCCGGGTGGGTGCAATGCAAATACGCAGCAGTCCGCTGTTCAATCTAGCAGCGTTTCTTCAGAAGTGAAGTTTCTGGCCGCACAACATGGAGCAACACAGGTATCGATGAAACACGAGGGAATCCAAAAAAGTTGCCGACGTGAGAAGAAAACAGGGCGTGGATCCAGCAGTTGGTACCGAAGGCTGCATCATATGGTGCTGGCTGGATGTATCCATAAGAGCCTGAGCTACTTCACCAAACGCCACAACGCAACCTTGATCGTGCTTCCAGCGCAACTAACTAAGCAACGACCAACTAGAACTGAGCAGCTCCTATGAGTTGTGTTGCAAAGCCTGTAAGCCTCATGTTAGTCATGCAACTCAAAGCGGCAAAACTTGACGCAAACCAATTAGAGCTGTGGCCGATCTGCGAAGCATCTTTCAAAACTGGCAGCAACACAGAAACCAAATATACTATAAGTTTCTTAGCAATGGAATAAACGACCTAAGTGGCTCCGATATTATGGACACAACACCAACACCAAATAGCAAAAGGCATTGCCTCATTGAAGATCGTGAGATTGGTACTAGGGAACTGGAGGGAGTGAAAGTGATGGCTCGAAGGAGGCTCCCCGAACTACCATCACAAAAACAAAGCACCTCTTAGGGTGGCTATTTGTTGTGAGCGACAAAAATGACCCATGGGCTCCCCGCGTTTTGGAGAGAATTGAAAGTCGAGGCGCTGCAAGCGCATAATCCGCAGGCGAGGACAAGTCCAGGTTGTAGCCTGAGGCCATGCCGACGTTCCTCATGACGTACATCCGGTGATGACATGGTCCAAACTCTAGACTCTAGAAGACTTGAGGGCGCGTGGTGCGCAAGTTGTGTTGCATTGGAATGGCATGCCTTGCCTCATGGCTTGCCCTTTGGCATTCCGGAGCCACGTCCCTTCGGCTTCCGTGCCGAGTTGCTGCCAGTGGGATTGGTGTCCTGAAACCAGAGCAGGCTCTGGATCGCAGCCCGCACCTGTGAGTTCGCTCGGGAAAGGGCTGGCTTGTCTTTCCCTGAATCGAACTCGTTTTTGTTCCCTTGGCAATTCACTCCGCCTCGCTTGAGCAAACACACCAAGCCCAAAGTCGCAGTCAACCAGCTTCTTCATGGCTAGCCCCGGCCAGCCGCAACTAGGCTAAGTAGGCACCAATAGAAACGTTAACCTGCCGCCAGCCCTTGTTTCATGAACACCGCGAATCGAACCGCGAACCGCGAACCGAACCGAAACCGCACGTGCGAACCGCGAACCAGCTCGCGAACCGGAATCGCGAGCCGGAATCGGCGCAAAACAGATGACTTATGAGGTAGTCTTGCAAGCCTCGAATTAAAACATGTCAAGACGGTGGGCACCCAAACTCAAAACAAGACCTTGTTTTCCTGGCGGACTTTGAGCGTACCAGCGCGCGCCATGTGAAACTCATTGAGGCCTGGGGCGACATACAGCACCCGCAAAAAAACACACAAAACCTTCAGTCCCCCGCCCCCATCCACTTCCGAAGCTGCCAGCGCCTCAAAGTTTGGCGTCTCAGGGAGTTACGAAGGTGCAAAGGTGCCCCAAGCTTGCAAGGCTAAATCGCAAAATGCTGAAGCAAAAGCCTTCGTCGCGGCTTGCGTCGTCAACAAGTGTGACTCTACCTGGTCCTCTTGCAACCTCAAGCGCGAAGTAGGCATACCGGCCAGCAAGAAACTCATTGGCTGAGTGATGGCTGCCCCGAAGTCCTTGAGAGTGAAATTGCACAAGCACACACCCGGAAGAGCAAGCCAAAGTCGAATTTGCGGCAGAAGCCAGGTTGAGGCAGAGCTAGCTCTTCTGGGCCTCATCGGGTGCCCAAGCACGACTCCGCCTCCCCTTATCCAAACCAAAAGGAAAAGGATGGTGCAGAGTTGGTAGCTGCGATTGCCACACTCTAACTGGGAAAGCTCGCAAGGCTGCAGCTCGGGAAGCCCCCACAAGTGGTCTGCGCGCTCCTTCGCGGAGCGGGTTTTCACGGGCAACGCTCCAAGAGCAGCTGGGGGGCACGAGAAAAACGCTTTCGCGCGCTTTATCTTGCAGCTGGCAAAGTGCTTCGTGGGAGGTGTCATTCCGAAACACATCCGAGGCAATGCATTGCAAGTGAAACGGCTGCTGCTGGCTGAACACATTCAAGGCTTCTTCGAAGCCACTGGCTTGTCTGACTCTGATCTTCGCACAAGAACAGCACATAGAAAGTTGGCTTACTTAGGTGCTGCGCAACGCGCGGCCAGCACGCAGGTCTGGACACTTCAGCAGGGGCTTCCAAGCAGATCGCCTCGTCTTCCTCCTGCGCAAGCGTGGCAAGGACTGAGCGAAATCAAGCCATTGAGGCTTGGGCTTGCTCGTGTTGCGTGGCGGGCCTCTAGCTGCCTCCGATAGCATCCGTGGCAGCGCAAACCCTACCTCCTGAAGTTGTTGGGCTGCGGTTTCAACTGCCTCTGGCTCATCCCAGGAGTCACGTACGTCTTCGTAGTGTCTGAGCAGCTCGATGAAAGTGCGCTGAAGGATTGCGGTGCTGGAAAGGACAGTGGCAGGGCACGTGCCCAGAGCACACCAAAACGCTGTTGCGGTAAAGTCACCAGCCCGAAACCACGTCCCAAGCTGGCGCAACCAGTGCGTGAGCTGGTCTGGATCCCACACCCCAGTCTCTGCTGGTTCAACGCTGACAACGCTTCTCAGATTACTTAGTTGGATTGGCGGCTTTCGTTCTTCATCCTGCAGCAGGCACGCGTACTGCCTCAAACAATCGTTATCGGCACGCTCCTTGGCGGTAGGTTCGCGGGGCCCTGCAAGCTGCACTCCTCTCACACGCTTGTGAACTACCAACCACGATGGCACTGGGGTCTTAATTAATCGCAATGGGTCGCAAGGCAGCAAGCTGCGCTGTGCTACTTGCAGACAGTCTCTATGCTTAGACGGGCTCCGAAAATGCACCAGCAGGCGTTGAGTGCTCCAGAATTCGACCAGGCAAATGGGGCAGTGCGTGGACTCAGCATATGAGGCGGCCTCAGAGCGCACCTTGTGTTGCACAGTGCGGTGCATGCGCAGCCTGTGCACATCTGAGAAGGTCTTTCTGCAGTCTGGGCACGCTAAGTCTTGGTGCGCAGTAGGCTGCGCAGCGACGTGGAAAGTTGCCCCAGCCTCGCAAAGCAGCCTCCTGACCTGCTTTCGGTACGCAGCTAGGTCAGACCACAAGCGTGCTTGGCATATGCTCGTGCATGTGGCCTGTCGAACTGCCCGTTTCCATGTTTTGGGTTGCTGCCGAGCAAAGTCCAAGGCCCGGTCGGGCTCGAAGGGGTGCGGTATGCTCGTGAGCCAGTTTCCGGCGTGTGCCCGCATCCAACAGACGTCGTCCTCAACAAGGTGGAGCCAAGAGTCTTGCTCCCTGACCCTCCCAAAACCGCCATTGGCAGCTGTCGCTGTGGAAGCATGCGTCGATAACGAAACAAATGAGTTGGAACTGGGTGGGGCAAGACAGCTGGGAAGTGTGGCACGGCACCTGGGCTGGCTGGGAAGCGAGGAGCAAGGCAGCTTCCCAAAGAGTTCAACCATTTCCCTTTGAAGTGGCCTTGTGAAGACTTGAAACCCAAACCAGTCCCCACCTGTCCAAATGAGGGCGAGGTCGGAAAGCGAGGAGCCGGGAGACTGCTGGGAACGTAGGGCCGGTGAAGTGTGGAGGAAAGGCCACCTGGGAAGGGTGGAGCCGGCCGTGCGGGAAGCGTGAAGCAAGGCACGTGGGAGGTGCGGAGCAAGGCGGGGCACCTGCGAAGTGTGAAGCGGGGCGCCTGGAAATGGCACGGGCACGCGGGCACTGGAGAAGTGGAGCAGGGCATCCCAGGAAGCGTGGTGGAGACCACGGAAGCGTGGAGGAAACCGAACCGAACCGGGGGTGAACCGAAACGATCCTGGATTGCGCCCGAATCGAAACGAATCGAAACGAACCAGGGGCATTCATGTGCACGTGTGTTGGCACCTTAACCTGGCCAACACCCTCGCATCTTTGGCCAAACCAGTGCCACCCCCGCCTTGGGTATCTGAGGCGGTTCAATTTGCTGAAGCAGCGCAAGTTGCTGCTTCCGACCTTAGCCAGAATTTCAGAATGGCTGGCCAAAACTGCCAGCCTTGTTGAACGAAAAAGTCATTGATGCTTCCTCAACTTGTGAGTTCCGGCCCGGGCATCGAGACATGCTGCAAACTCGCACAAGGCCCTGCCCCACCAACAGCTGGGCGCGCCCCGCTACTAATGCAGGGGAACAGCACCATGACCTGCTGCAAAACATGCTCACGATCACTAGCAGGAAAGCGCGCACTCCTGAGGCTGCCGACTCACAATTCACAGGCACTTTTGGAATCACGAGGCTTCATGTTGCAAAATAGCGGGCTTGAGCGGCCTGGGGGGGCACAACCCAAACCTCAGCCAAAAGAACACTTCCCAAGGCGACTCTAACACAAATCCCTCAATCCACCTAAGCGAACAAACCAAGCTGCCCACGCAGAAACCCCCCAGCCGCCCCCCCCCCCCCCGCCAGCTGCGTCGCCAGCTCCTGGGCGATTTCCAACACAAGTCCGCGGCTACCCTTCCCACCAACTCAGCATTAGTGGGAGGATACGTGAAAATCAATGTCCTCAAGGGATTCAAGTGCCATCTTCAATCTTCGTGGGAGAGAGAAAGCAACAGCTCCAAATTCGCAAGCCCCAATTCTTCAGCGAAAGCCCCTCCCGCGAGGCCAATTTGTCAGAAGATGGAAAGGCCCTCTGGCGTTGCTTCTGAGTGCCAGTTGCAGGTTCGCCTCTTCCTCTCTTCCTTGGGGGCCCAGCAGCTCGGCTGCTCAGCAAAATCTTTACCTGAAGGCAAACACAAAAACCAGGCAGTTCCATGGCTCCATGCGGCATCCACAATGAACAGCAGAACAAGTCTGCGGACTTTTGGCACGTGCTGGCTTTGACCGTTGTACTCAGGTTGCTTCAATGCCACCACCCGAAGCCTGCTCCTCAGTGCACCACAGCTCTTTGGCCAAAGCCCGCGCGAAGCGGAAGCGCTCCTGTTCCCGGTGCACTGAAAGGGTGCAACTTTTCAAGCAAGCGGCATAGTGTCCGAAACAAAACCACCCGGCACGAGCCAACGCACCCTTCTGACATGCCTGTCATCTTGGCCAGTTTCAAGGGGTTGCCCTCCAGCCCTGGGGGTGACATCCTGAACCCGCCTTTTCCCCCGTTGCCGAGCTGAAGGACGATTAATCAACTGTACAAGCCAGGTTCAGCGAATGGCAAAGCTTGGTTGCCAACCGGCCCCCCGGCCTCATCCGTGATGTTCATCATGAAACCCTGCGTAATGAGTTGAAAGCGAGCAGGTGGCACCTGGGCAGCGCTAGAGCCTCCCCCTGCCCTGCTCAATTGCTCGGCCCTTGCCCCACCAAGCTCATGGGTGTGCACTCAGCATCAGGGTCCAAACCTGGCCCCCCGAAATTACCTCAAATGAGCAACTCTCCGTCCATGCCAGTTGCAGCTCAAATGAGCCGCAGCAGGTCATGAAACAAGCTCTCACCGGCATCCCCCGAGCTCTGCACCTTGATTCGACAGTCCTGTGAAGGCAAGTCCGGGACTGACACCAGTCGCCAGTTTTGGCACACATGGATGGCTGCGATGCTCCCCCCGTACAACCATGACCAACTGTCCTCTTTTGAGAGCCAATTTCTAGAGTAAGATGAGATGCTGCAATCACCCCGACCAGTAGATCTTACAAGAGTTTTCCAGTCCGCCATTCCCCTCAGCGCAGTCAATGCCCGAGCATGAAAGTTGATCTGACTTATCAAGGCCGCTGTTAAATCTAATTTCTGTGTGGGACGCCAGAGAGCTGGCCCAGATTGAACAACTTGGGAAGCGTTTTTTGGCACGGGCTTCGTTCTCGTGGGGCCCTGCGCAGATCTTGCAGGATCTCTCAAGGTCTCTTGGAAGGGATCGCGACGTGCATCGCAGGACCTCAAAGGATCTGCGCGCAAGGAGCCGATCTTGGGAGGAGCCTCTTCACAGTCCCGATTGGTCAAGCATATGGCGTCGATTCCTCCCGGCACCTGCCAAGCTACAGGGTTGTTGCGAGAAGCACGCCTTTGTGGAATGCCACTGGCAGGCCTGCCCGATCCTTCCTCGAGAAGGTTCCCTTCCCTATGCAAAGTGTGCGCTACTCCTAGCAAATCTTAGCCCTGTTATGTTGTAAACCTGCGATGAGTAAGACGAACCGCGCGAATGTCCGCATATTCGGCGCGAATCTGAGCAAATGTGACTTGAGCAGTAGTTGGGCTGTGAGTTGCTTGCTTAAACCTTCCCGCAGGGAGAACCTGCAACTTACTTTCAAGTTACTTCAATGGCCATAATGGCCAGCAGTTCAATCTCAGACCCTTGTCTCGCAAAGTTTGTATGTAATATAGTTATACAATAAATAATGCGGCCATACACTTTGTCACTTGATTGTTGTGCTCGCGCTTGCTCTTGTTTCGGGCCTGTGGGACGTCTGGGATTTTAGACACCTGGTCCAAAATAGCACAGGTCTGAGAGATAATAAACTGCCAGACTAGCTCTGGAGCTATTTGCTGAGGTTTCAAAAACGCCACGCCGCGGCCTGTAGCGCACTTTCAGAAAGCACCTTCGCAGGTTTGCGCTTTAAGCGAGACTTTAGTGCGACGGTCAAGAGATTTTGCCCTGTGGAGCGATTGCCTTGAAGCATCATGCACCTAGGGCCAGAACACGGCTATCCTGCGCGCCTGTATCAAGCCCTCTGAAAAACGACCAAGAGTCCTGGATGAGCTCTGACACCTCCCGCCAGTCACCTTCTGGTGTGCCTGGCCACGCATGCCACGCCAGCCTTCAATAACACACAGGGCATCCGGTGCTGTCAAGGACGGGAAACGTCGCGTTTCCGATGGCTTGGAACCTGTCAATCAAAACCCGAGGTTCAAATTTTGGCGCCTGGTAAGCCAGGAGGGATCTGCGGCTTCTCTTCCAATAAGGGCAGCAGCTTTGCTGGCAGTCCTGGCCGCTCGAAAACCCGATTTCTCAGCCTTGAGGGCAAATCCCCGGCATTTTGCTGGGGAATCGAACAGGCCCAGGACAACCAGCAAACAACATAACGATGATACCTCAGGATCTTCTCCCATGCCTGACTTGAAGTATGCCACACAAAGGCTGGTCCTTCCATGGGAAAGGCCATGGAGCCGTGGTGGCCCATGCCATTGTCCATGGGTCCCTCAGTCTCAGGACTACACATCGCATATTCCCAATGGTCACTTGCTGCCTGCAAGAGTGCATCGAAGGATTGAGACACGGGCCCTTGACTTGCTCTTGGCGATCTCGGTGCGGCATGATAGGCAAACGCACATCCCTTTGAACAACGAGAGATACCCAGTGTTCAGTGCTCACGGATTCCAATGTTGGCATGAACTCAAGTGAACGGTTTGTCGCTCGCAGTACGGCTTGGACAGCCATCACATGCTCGGCTTGCACTCAAGTTGGCGTGCCGCCTTTTGTGGAAATACACCCAGCCAAGTCTCAAACCCCTTCAAAGCACCATGACCCCCAAACGCGCGTATATAGATCTGACCACCATGACCACCCATGAGGCTGGCTGCTGAGTGCCAAACCTCCAAATCCCCTGGCGGGCACAATGTTATGATTCAGCCGTTGCGTTTGCCTCCACAAACAGCACTAAACCGTTGCCCACTGTCAGTATTCCTTTTGAGCTCCGCCTACATCCAGCTCTAGCCGCGAGCACCTAGATCCAATTCGCACCTCGGGCCAGCAACGAATGGTGGGGTGTGCTTGTGAAACCAGGTTACACATGAACTTTGCAAAATGATGACGTTCCTCTCGCGGATCACAACTCAGCTCTGAACTTGGCCCTCATGGGAATACGGCCATGGTCATGTGCTGATGGCAGGACGCTCCATAAAGTTTTGAAAGAAGAGTGCTTCGATAGTACCATCAGTCAAGGAGGTCTTGGTTCCTGGTTGAGAGCCCCACGTGCGTCTTCCGGGGCAGGGGCGGCAGCTCCTGGAGTGCCTGGAAGAATGCGCGACCGTGAGGCACTAAAGGCACATCAGCCCATGCCCGGCCCCTCAAACATTGGTTCTACGGTGCTGGACTTGGGATGGCGCACAACGGCGCACTTTGCTTGACATGGAAACACTGCACTGGCCCAAAAACATGCCCAATGTTGCGAGGGGCACGCTCAGGACAACTTCGAGAATCTTGCCAAATCAAAACAAGGGGAGCCGGGGAACCCAAAAGCCAAGCAATTGCAAGCCACAAGCTCGACCAAACGCAGGTGCTCGCAAAGAGCAACACATCCTCCAACACTTTCCCTTCGGCTTTCCCTTGCCCTTGCCCTTGCCCTTTGTTGTCACGGAGCTTGACGTTGGCAATTGCCAGCTGTGTGTTCAATGCTGACCACAGCACTTACAGTTCTTCTACCTGATATGGCTCATGCTCCCATAGCCGCATGCCCCCTTGCTTGCCATTCTGAATCTTGGGGTTGCAAGAATGAGGGCTTTGCAAATTAGAATTCGCCTTTGCCCTTCTCGCGAACTTAATGTCAGAAGCTTTCTTTTTTCGCCGACAACAAGTGTCCGCTCAATGACCTCTGGTGCCTGGATTTGAGAGCGCTCTCTAGTCGTGTTGCTAACCCAGTTCAGCAACACAAGGAATTTGTGGCGAGATTGTTCTCCAAAGCTCTCGCTCTGCCTTCAAGCCGAATGCCTGCAATCTACCTCCCTTTCTCTACCGACCTGGACTTGACAATATCCATTGCTACCTGGCCAGCTAACCGGTTGGTTAGCTTGAGGGTGCCGCGGGCAAAGTGCAAAAGAGACAACTCACTGAAAGTCCCCTGACGGCTTCGAATTTCGTCTTTGTCGCGGGCATTTTCGGCTTTGCCCTGAATATCGTCTTCGCGCATTTCCGTGTCGAATTCGGCTTCGCCCTGAGCATCGTCGTCGCCCCCAGCATCGTCTTCGCCAATTGTTGTCTTCGAATTTTGTCTTCGTGGGCATTTTTCCCTCTTCGCGCATTTCGGCTTCGAATTTCGTCTTCGCGGGCATTTTCGGCTTCTTCCCAGAATAGTCTTCGCCAAGTGGCGTCGAATCTCGTCTTCTCGGGCATTTTCGGCTTCGCCCCGAATATTGTCTGCGCGCATTTCGGCTTCGAATTCCGTCTTCGTGGGCATCTTCGCCCCAAGCATCGTCTTCGCCAATTTTAGGGTCGGATTTCGTCTTCGTAGGGCATTTCCGGCTTCGCCCCGAATATCATCTTTCGGCTTCGCTTTTTTCTCTTCGGATAATTTTGGGCTTCGAGTGTCGTCTTCGCGGCCATTTTCGGCGGCGTGCTACATGTAAACGGTCATCGCATTTCAAGCTTGATCGTCTTCGCAATTTTGTCTTCGGCCACCCAACAAAATGGGGACCCTCTCTCCCGGGTCAATGAGTTTTTCGTTGTTGACATGATTTGTCATTGTCTTTCCTTTGTTTCGCCTATTTTCCCATTTCTCGTTTTTGCGCTTTTCCACTCCGGACGTCCCCCGCCGACCAAGAAGCAAAAGGGCAAATCTTGAAAAACTTGAGGAAATGGTTGTTTGCGTGTTGATTTTGTGGTTTCCATGTTTTTCTTCTTCCCGGACCTTCCTGGGCACGGTTTGCACTTTGCTTGTTTGCCTTTTCATTTGCACTTGTTGGTTTGGGGTTCATGTGTGGGTGTGTTTTTGCATGTTGAATCATATCAACAAGACCCAGAAGTTGCCTGACGGCCGCTCACAAACCGGATGCAACAAGGCAATTTGGAGCGCGGTGCAACCCGCTGGCATCATTCCACATATTCCAGACTGTCTCAACCCCCCCCCAATAAAAAAATACGCAGACACGAAAAGACAAACCCTGCTTGGGCACAAATCGGAGAAGGCAAGCGTCTGCCCACGCTCAGCCCAGCACATCTACTTCCGCCTTGTGCCTGCAAGCGGGGGTGCAATGGTCTTGGCCTCTCATCGGACTATGCCTCCCAAAACCAACAAAAACTGGTGTGTGTGTGTGTGAAATGGCAGATTTCAGCGCTTAGCCTCTGCACAAATCATGCAATCATGAGAAGAAAGGTGCTTGATGCGCCGTGTTTTGGGGCAAGCAGGCACGCAGGCAAGCAGCCACGCACACATGCACGTGCATGGCACAATCCCGTGACATCCCCCTCAACCTGCTGCAGCACTCGACTTGATCCTTGTCCCCCTGAGCTGCAGGCATTTCCGCTTCTGCCCTGGGATGCAGCATGGGGAAACAAAGACGTCCGCGAAAGCCGCCAAGGCAACTTGCCGGAACATCTTGCGTTTGAGCTACAGTAGTAAGAGTGCACCGAGTGAGCTGTTTGGCCGCACCCCAGCACCCTGCAGAGCAGGTCCTGCATTGTGTGCCCGCTTCCTCTCTTGGAGGATGCAAAAAAAAAAAAACGACGCCCCTTCAGCTGGGCGTCTCTTTCAGGCGCCGATGGCTGGCGTCTGACAGAGGCGGCGAATAGGTGACCTAGGTTCAAATGCTGGTAGCACCGGCATTGTGGAAGTGGCGCTGGAAAGCTTTGGGCGCCTGGCCTGGCGTTCACACCCATGATTCTCATGAATATCAAAGGCAACGATTTACAACCACATTGCCAATGAGACTCAGACTTGGCTCATGTGCTCGAACCTGCCTGATGCCAAGTAGTCAAATTGGCCTTGGGGGTCAAAACCCCAATGCTGCACGTCGTATTCTAACAAAAAGCAATTAAAAAGCACAAGACCTCCTCTCCAGTTGGTCCCGCTGCTTGACCGCGATGCCCACAACCCCCCGCACACTCCCTTCGAGCCCGGAACAGACCCCGGGCCACAGCCACCCCCCCTTGGGCGCCACAGCGTTGCAAAGCCCAGAGCAAGGCACCAGCCAATTGCCCCGTGAGTCCCTCTCTATGCTGGGCCTGGCCATGCCGACTCAAGGGTCGGCTTTAGGTCATGGGCTTTCAGGAACTTGCTGCCTTCTCTCGAAAGGCAAAGCACGGCACGTATTCTCAGTCAGCTCTCGCCTGAAGCAATAAAGTTGGCCATCAACCAGCGCTTCTTCATCAAGGCTGCGCTTCCCAGAGCAAGCCGCCATGCTAAGCACTCATAATGTAGCTACGAATGAACGGCTTCCGCGAAAACGCTTTCGACCACTTGCCCTCCTCGACATACTTTCTGATTTCTCTTTTGAAAGAAGAGTTTCATCAAGATCCATGCTGGACGGTGCGTGGTTGCGACTGCAAATCAAGCCCCGCAATCTGCCTAACAATGAGTTTCCAGGATGATTGCCGAAGGCTCGCAAAGCATCACAGCATTCTAAGATCCTACCAGGGGATAAATTAAGAAAGCTCATTTCACCCTTCTCATTGTCAAAGGGTGAACCTAGACGAACCTAGCCTGCCTTGAACAGCATAAAGCCAAGCTTGCGAATCCCTGGCCCGCCTTGCTGACTTGGAGTCAAACCTGGGAAACGCCGCAAAGGAGTAGTTGCACTGATCAAGTCACGATGCCAACCAATCAAAACCGGCAACCCCCATAAGATGTGCACACAGGCCATTGCAGGGAATCTTTTCGCAGTAGTGTGGTATTGCAACCGTCAGCCAACCCAAACGCAACGCTCCAGGGGAACGAGGAACCAGGCACAAAGAAACATCAGTGCCACTGTCACATCCGGGAGTGTTCGGAGCGGGTAAACCCCAGGGCGCGTCGGTTGTAAGCTAAGGCACCGGCTTCAAATAGCCTCGGAGGGCCATGTGGGCGAAGCAGGAACTTGTTTTGCTGTGTTCAAGGTATGCCATCTCATCAAGGCATTGGTTCGCCTCTTGAGTCGGGGGAGCTTCCAGGTCAAGCAGCAATGCAAGGCATGACAAACAGCCCGAGCACATGGCGGTGGCTTGCCTCTGGGTATCGCTGATCAGCCTGCTGCAAAGATGGCACGCTGATTGAATGTCATGGCCCTTGATTTGATTTAGCACAGTGGAACAGAAAAAGTGCACAGGTTGAAGGCGCCAAGCCCCCAAAACCTAAACGGGGATCAGCAACCCGTGAGAATATCGCCACCCCCGCCCCCAAAAATACAAGCAAGGCGAGCTTTTGGGACACACACACACACATGAATAAACAACAAGCGCCAAATGCACCGGAACTGAGATTTGTGTCGAAAATGTGTCGGACGCCTTCAACAAACACCAAATCAATATTCTTTGGAGTTGAGCACCTCCAGCCTGCCATTGGCCACTTGGACACCAATCCAGCCTGCCGCAGCAGGGTGCGCAGCGTGGCCCTGTCCGCACACAGGCCCAGGTCCAGCCTGCCGGGGCACAGCGGAGGGCTTGGCCTGAGGGCTTGGGCGGGTTCGGTCGCAAGGGCGACCGGTGTAACCGTTCCCCTGAGACGCTGCTTACAACAGTTTTCCGAGAATCGGGTTGATGCCTCAGCCTACGCCCTGCCCGAAGTGCGAAGCTCAGTTTCTTGCACCAGCTTGGGCCTGTAGTTCCCGGCAGGGTGCGCATGCCGAAACTTCACCTCGGCTTTGCAGCCTGAGGTTCTCGCCACTCGGCATGCCAACATCAAACACCAAAAGGAGGGTAGAAAATACGCCAACAAACGACCGGCCACACAAAACATTGACCACCTGCGAATGCTGAAAAAGTGGAGATGCCGGAGTTTTCTGACTTGGCCCATTGCCAGCATCTCTATATCCCAAGCTCCCACCATGCCAGGTCACCGCCGGGCATCGCAGGTCAGCTTCTCGGTGCCCCGAAAGGTCCATGCCTGCCATCCACGTTTGACCCTGAGCTCTCAAGCCGACACACCTCAAGGCTCCCCCCCCCCGCCCCTGCCCTTCCGTGCCCGAATGAACTACCTACCCCGCGCCTTCCAGGCTATCACCCATCTCCGTCATGAGGCGGAACACGAAGCGGAGGCCTACCAAAGGGGCTGTCGGCCTTGAGTCTTGTGCGCATCCATCCGGTCAAAGAGGCCACGAAGCGAAAGGCGAGGTGGAAAGCAGGTATAACAGCCTAGCCTACTTGGTGAGCGGCCTTGGCCTGATCCATTTACTTGCCATGCCCTTGTGCAGCCTGAAATTTGTTCGGAATGGTTTGAATTATTCAAGCACTGAACGCCTGCATTGGTGCGAAAGCACCAACCACAACCACCCGCTGCCCCCTGCCTGTTTCGCCCAGCGGGTTCTCGCAAAGGCGCAGGCTCTTCAGTTTCTGGTGCCGTTGCAGAGCCTGCAGTGGGATTGTTTGACGGCTGGGCTTGCGGGTGCTGTATTCCTTGAGAAATCATTGGCATCCGTTTCAACTGACTGGTGATGGGATTACCCCGCTAACACGCAGGACCGAAGCGAGTTCCTATGCCTACAACTGGTATGACTGCCACACGACTTCAAGTTGCTCGCAAAATGAAGGTCGAATTCTGTGAATGGCCACACTTGTCCTAGCATAGTCTGCCCTTCTTCCGCCAAGGTCGATTCGCACCATTTGGCCCCAGGTTGCCTCCCGCGTGCTGCAATGTGCACCCAAAGGCCCTGCCTCCTGCAAGACCCAGGCAGTGTCCACGCCTTGACAGGCCAACTGACGCGATCGATGTCAAGCAAGCGCCAATGCGGGTCAAACGTTGGAGGACATTGACGGTGCTTACGAATCTTGCAGGAGTGAGGGAGGGTGCCCCCAAAACATGCTGAGTAGGCTAGGGTGACCAGCAACGGACTTTATACCTCGAAAATGATTGCGGGAACCCCAGAAAGGCTCTATGAACATTTTGAACCCCCCCCCCAGTACTCACCCCCAAAAAATGGCTAAGGATTTGTACATTTCAGGAAACAACATAGACCATAAATAAGCCATAATTTAAGGGCTATTTTGGAAGGTTGACCGTTGGCCCTTAAATAAGGTTTATATGTGGCTTATTTTTGGTGTTTGAAAATAAGCCTTATTTAGATGTTGTTTGCCTCGATGATTTCTCAAGGGTTCTCGGCAGTGGCCTGGGAGTGTTCAAGTAAGCCTTGTTTAATGTTATGCTTGATGAAACTGAGTCGGCTTCTTGCAATTGTTTGGTAGGGTTTTGCCGTGATTCAATGATCTGGACAAAGGGTATGGTAGCTTGCCCGCCAGATCATAACCATGAGGTTGTTCAGCTCAACAAAAATGAACCAGATCGACGAGGGAGGTCTGAGGCGAGACAACCCCATCAAATTGGCCCCGAGAAAACACATTTGTGTGCAGTATGAATGCAGCAAGTTGGCTCCAAACAAACATTGGCAAAAATAAGCATGGAATAAGTAATAAGCATCAAATAAGCATCAAATAAGCACCAAATAAGGATTTTGCTGCATATATGCAGCAATTTGGCTCCAAATACAAGTATTGGCAAAAATAAGCATCGAATAAGCATCAAATTAGCACCAAATAAGGATTCTGCTGCATATATGCAGCAATTTGGCTCCAAATACAAACATTGGCAAAAATAAGCCTCAAATAAGCACCAAATAAGGATTTGTTCTGCGTATACTTGACCATATATGCATCAATTTGGCTTTGAATACAAACATTGGCAAAAAATTAGTCTCGAATAAGCATCAAATAAGCATCAAATATGGATTTTGCTGCATTTTATGCAGCAATTTGGCAATACAAATATCTGCAAAAATAAGCATCGAATCAGCATCGAATAAGCACCAAATAAGCACCAAATAAGGACTTTGCTGCATATATGCAGCCATTTGGCTCCAAATACAAACATTGGCAAAAATTAGTATCGAATAAGCAATAAGGATTTGGCTGCATATATGCAGCAATTTGGCTCCAAATGCAAGCATTGGCAAAAATAAGCATCAAATAGGCACCAAATAAGCATTTGTTCTGCATATACTTGAGCATATATGCATCAATTTAGCTTTGAGTACAAATATTTGCAAAACTACGCCTCGAATAAGCAGCATCAAATAAGGATTTTGCTGCATATATGCAACAATTTGGCTCCAAATACAAGCATTGGCAAAAATAAGCCTCGAATAAGCATCAAATAAGCACCAAATAAGGATTTGGCTGCGTATATTCAGCAATTTGGCTTCGAATAATAAGCCTCGAATATGCATCAAATAAGCACCAAAGAAGGATTTTGCCGCATACAGGCATTCCTGTGGCCCAAACTACAGCTTCGACAAAGCTCAATAATGCTTTCGCTGTGTACGCAGCGCAGATGGACAAAGTCAGCGCTGCCAAAAGACGCAGAATAAACCCGAGCAGTCACTTCTGACTTGGTTGGACCAACAATATTATTTGGGCTATCCTTTCATCCTTGTAATTTTTGCCACTCGGGAACACCAGCCCCTAAAAAAATCCTTATTCATGGTTTTTTTTTGCTTGGCAGGCAGCGCGCATGCATTCTTGCACGAAACATTTTTCCCTTGGGGGGGGGGGGGGGTGTTGGGGGGGGAGTATAGTCTTCTATGATATGTGGGACAGCTGCGAACCGACATCTCTACTCTTCTGCCAGAAGCGCAAGGCTGTCGCCATGAAGGATAAAAACCCAGTGGTCTGATCCCCACACAAAGTCCGCAAGCAAACGTTGACTAAACCTGTCGTGCCTTTGCCCTGGGGGCGTGGCTGACGCCGCAATTGGAGATGTCCAGCTCTTCCAAAGTGTCATTCACCTGCCACTAAGTCACCTTCCTTGGCAATGTCCTTCCCTTCAACCAAAGAAAATGCTGGTGCCACAGGCATGGGTCAGGCCCCTGCCGGAGGGGGGGGGGGGCCAAGATGCTGGACATGTGATTGCACAAGAGCCAACCAACAGAGCAAGGTACACAAACCTCTGCACCTTTGAGGGTCAATGAGCCGGGTTGGACAACAATCTGTCCCAGGAGCAGGGAATGCATATTCACCCCAGCTCTCCATGCTGGTGCCAGCTTTGGGGAAGCCCCCTTCCCTGCCGCCCAGCCAAGCAGAGGTCGCCTCTCCAGCTTCCTGAACACCAAGCCCTGCTCTTGGGCTCATAAAACCAACACATCGAAAAATGTGTGAGAAACCAACATGAAACGACCGTGAGGCCAACATGTACAGAACCAAGGTGAAATCTGATTCAGAGACATGTGCACCAACTTGCCGGACACCTGCAGGCCCTCGAGGAAAAGCTGCAAGGGGTTGCGCCTGCGAGTGATGGAATCTGACATTTCAGTGAGAGTGTGCTTAACACTTCCCAAGTTTTTGGAGGGTGGAAACCTAGATTGATGTTGCTGTTGGCCGGCCACGCGGGTGCCGTGGAATCCATTGAAAATCCTGCCAAGCTTGCTTGCCTCACCATGGCTGCTGGCTGCTGCGCAGGAGAAATGGATACGGAACCCTCGTCCGCCGCAAAGAACGCTTGCTTCTAATGGATGTGCATTGTAGCCTGTTCCCTCGCACACCTGGAAGCAGGTAGTCCCTTATAACGCAGCCACCATATGCTTTCAATATATGATTTTGGTGCACGCCCGCAGCCTGCTTCAAGCCCCGATGCTGAGTCCCCAGCCCCAGCACTGCACGCTCCTGGCAAGGGGTGAGTCTGCCGGCTTCTGAACTCGCCCCAAGCAGCCCTAAACCATTGAAAACTCAGGCATCGCCTTTTGATTCATCGCCAAAGGGACCAGCCCTGATGTGACGACTAACACAACGATAGGCCCGCCTTGTCTGCCTCATCCGCGGAACGAAGAAACGGCCTCGACAAGCGCTGCAATGCGAATGACTCTTGGTGCCATGCGCGCGTGGCTTTGGCTGAAGCTTCAAAGCAGTTCGGAATGGGCTTCCGCAAAAAAACAAGACGCAGGGAAGTTGAAGTGGTGATTCGGTTGCTGAAAAAGGTATCTCACAAGTGCAATTAACAATGCCAAATCTGCAAGTGGAGGATGCATGCAAACAACCATGGGCTGGACCCTTACTTCTGTCACTGCATCGCCTGGCAGGCAACTCTGCTTCCACCTCCCCAGGAGATTGACCATTGCCCGCAAAGGAGAGCCAGCGCAGCCTGCAGTGGGCGCAGGCATAAAGACATTGAGCAAAGCGAGAACATCTGTGAAATGTTCACAATGCTGGTGTGAGTTGTTTAAGGGGACCCTCCAAACTGGATTTCCTTTAAAAGCATCCCCCCCGCCAAAAAAAGAAAAACAAGACAGAGCCCACGAACCCGAATGCACATCACTTTGCGCAAACCCAAGAAAATAAAGAAGGATGAGCCAATGGGGCTCGCAATCAAATCAACTACGGAAACTAATTGTTTTTATCTTGTTAAAATGTAATTCGAGTAGTAGAGTTGCACTACAAAGTTACGATTTTCGAGCTGGAGCTCGACACCTGCACTTCGCACACTAGACTTGTACTGCCAAGTTGCGATTTTCCAGCTGGAGCTGGAAACGCGTACTTCGCGTACTAGACTTGCGCTACAAAGTTGCGATTTTCCAGCTAGAGCTGGAAGCCCGTACTTTGCGTACTAGACTTGTGCTACAAAGTTGCAATTTTTGAGCTGGAGCTAGAAACCTGTCTTCGCGTAGAATTGCACTTCAAAGTTGCGATTTTTCAGCTAGAGCTGGAAACCTGTACTTCGCGTGCTAGAGACTTGTACTTCATAGTTGCGATTTTGTTGCTAGAGCAGGAAACCTGTACTTCGCGTACTAGGCTTGTACTACAAACTCGCGAGTTTCCAGCCAGAGCTGGAAACCTGTACTTCGCGCACTAGGCTTGTACTTCAAAGTTGCGATTTTCCAGCTAGAGCTGGAAACCTGAATTCGCGTACTACACGTGCACTACAAAGTCACGATTTTCCAGCTAGATCTGAAAAACTGTACTTCGCGTACTACATTTGCACTACAAAACTGCGATTTTCCAGCTGGAGCTGGAAACCTGTACTTCGCGTACTAGACGTGCGCTACAAAGCTACGATTTTCCAGCTAGATCTGGAAAACTGTACTTCGCGTGCTACATTTGCCCAATGCGATGTTCCAGCTGGAGTTGGAAGCCTGTACTTCGCGTGCTAGACTTGTACTACAAAGTCGCGATTTTCCAGCTAGATCTGGAAAGCTGTACTTCGCGTACTACATTTGCACTACAAACTCGCGATCTTCCATCTAGATCTGGAAAAGTGTACTTCCCGTACTACATTTGCAGTACAAAGTTGCGATTTTCCAGCTGGAGCTGGAAACCTGTACTTCGCGTACTAGACTTGTACTACAAAGTTGCGACTGAGATACACTTGTGAGTGACGCTTCTGAGTGACGCTTCTGAGCGACGCTTCTGAGCAATGAGCGGTACCCCTGAGCGACACGCTTGATCACACCTCTGGTCGACACTCTTCTGATCGACACTTCTGAGCAACACTTCTGATCGAATTTTTTGAGCGAGAATCTCAAGCAACACTTCTGGTTGACACTTCTGAGCAACACTGCTGATCGACACTTCTGAGTAAACCTTCTCATCAACAATTCTGATCATTCTGAGCGACACGTCTGACCGACGCTTCTGACTGACACTTCTGATCAACACTTCTGATCGACAATTCTGATCCATACTTCTGATCCACACTTCTGACCGACAGTTCTGAGAAACACTTCTGACCAACACTTCCGACCCACACTACACTGCTCAAAACACTTGATAGCTCTTAGCAACACTTCTGAGCAACACTTCTGGTCCACACTTCTGATTGACAGTGCTGAGCGACACTTCTGAGCAACACTTCTGATCAACACTGCTGATCGACACTTCCGAGCTAATCAACAATTCTGATCCACATTTTTGAGCAACACTTCTGATCCACACTTCTGACCGACTCTTCTGAGCGACATTTCTGTCAAAGGCTTCTGATCGACACTTGCAAGCAACACTTCTGAGCAACAAACCTGAGCAACACTTCCGGACGACACTTCTGAGTAACCCTTCTCATCAACAACTCTGATCATTCTGAGCGACACTTCTGACCGACGCTTCTGACTGACACTTCTGATCAACACTTTTGATCGACAATTCTGATCCATACTTCTGATATCCACACTTCTGACCAACCGTTCTGAGCAACACTTCTGACCAACACTTCCGATCCACACTGCTCACCGACACGTCTTAGCTCCTAGCAACACTTCTGAGCAACACTTCTGGTCCACGATTCTGATTGACAGTGCTGAGCGACACTTCTGAGCAACACTTCTGATCAGCACTGCTGATCGACACTTCTGAGCTAATCAACAATTCTGATCCACACTTTGAGCAACACTTCTGATCCACACTTCTGACCGACTCTTCTGAGCGTTTCTGTCAAAGACACTTGCAAGCAACACTTCTGAGCAACAAATCTGAGCAACACTTCCGGACGACACTTCCGAGCAACACTGTTGAGCAACACTTCTGATCGACACTTCTGATCGAAACTTCTGATCGACACTTCCAAGCAAAACCTCTGATCCACACGTCTGATCGATGCTTCTGAGCGACACTTCTGAGCAACACTTCTGATCGACACTTCGGAGCAACACCTGTGAGCAACACTTCTGATTGACAATTCTGATCGACGAGCAACACTGCTGCGCGACACTTCTGAGCAACACTTCCGATCGACACTTCTGAGCCCCGGGGGCGTGTGGGGCTTCGATACCGTATAGCACATATAGCACATATAGCAGTGCCCCGGGGAGCGATACCGTATAGCGCATAAAGCACATATAGCAGTGTTCAAGGGAGTGTGGGGGCTCTGCCCGGGACTGGGGGGTGTGCCTGGAGAGCGTGCCTGCGGGGGAGTTTGTCCAGGGGATTGTGCGGGGGAGTGTGCCTGGAGTGCCTGGAGCGCTCTGCCCGGAGGGAGTCTTTGGCGAGTGTGCTCAGGAGAGTTGGGGAGTGTGCCTGCCCTGGGGGAGTCTGGGGGAGTCTGCCCGGAGGAGTGCTCTGCCCGGAGCGCCTGCCCTGGAGGAGTGTGCCCGGGGGAGTGTGCCCGGAGAGTGTGCCTGCCCTGATAAAGTGTGACACTTCTGACCGACACTTCTGACTGACACTTCTGATCAACACTTCTGATCGACACTTTTTTTGATCGACGCGTCTGAGCAACACTTCTGATCGACACTTCTGACCACTTCTGATCCACACTTCTGATCCACACTTCTGATGCTTCTGGGCGACACTTCTGCGCAACACTTCTGATCGACTTTTCTGAGCAACACCTCTGAGCAACACTTCTCACCGACACTTCTCGTCGACACTTCTGAGCGACACTTCTGACAACACTTCTGAGAGGGCCCACTTTGAAACGCCGTTTGACAGCGAGGGTGATTCGACCCACCCAATGTGCGCAGAGGGTTCGCTTTCCATTTTCAAAATGTGCACCGCGCCACAGCAGAGGGTTCACTTTGTGCTTTCAAACTGTGCACCGCGCCACAGCAAGAGCGTTTCGACCCAGCCAAAGTGCGCAGAGGGCCCACTTTGCATTTTCAAAACGCGCGCCGCGCCACAGCGAGAGCAATTCGACCCACCCAAAGCGCGCAGAGGGTTCACTTTGCATTCACTCTGCAGCTGCAAAATGCGCACCGCGCCACAGCAAGAGCGATTGGACCCACCCAAAGTGCGCAGAGGGTTTGCTTTGCATTTTCAAAAAGTGCACCGCGCCACAGCGAGATCAATTCGGCCCACCCAAAGTGCTGCGCCTGCCACGACATCGGCGCGCAAGCTCGAAAGTACCGCGCGTGCCTTTAAAGTGCTGCGCCTGCCACTAAATCTGCACAAAAAGCTCGAAAGTGCTGCGCCTGTCTCGAAAAATAATGTCACAGCAACATGTAAAACGACACTCTCGCACTGCGTGCGGAAACTGGCGCCGGACTGCAGCGGCAGAATGATGTCAAGCGATTTCTTGCAAATCTGCAGTCGTGAAATGAGCCGATTGTACGACATGGCCAACGAAAACGGCGCCGGCGCAAAACACTATCACGCGCCTGCCAAGCAGGACACCTCAAAACAACCACCCCTGGATCGCAAATCCCACTGGCACGGCAACGAGAACACGCAGCCTTCCAAAACACTGCGCCTGCGCAGCGAAATGACACGTCGAGCTTGAAAAGCTACGATTTGCGCACAGGGCCAACGAAAACAGCACATCACAAGTCATCAAACTCACGCATTATGCGCTTCCACACTGGGAGAGCCATAGCGCAATCATACAAACGGTTGCGGGCGGTTGCGGGCGGTTGCGAACGGTTGCGGACGGTTGCACAACATCCGGCGAACAAGGCTTCACCCCCAGACCCGCAAGATGAAACGAGAACCCTATGCTACGCATTCGAGAGAGAAAAAACAACGGGAACCCTCAAAAAAGACGCGCCCAAGGGCCAAATCAAAGGTGGCAGCTGCAAAGGGCGCTATCACCTCCGTTTTGAAGCTGCCGGCTGCCTGGTGGTGCCCAGAGCCGCCGCGGCCGCCGCAAAGCCCGGTGCCCCGAAGAAATTCCCCGAGAGGTCGGCGCCTGAGTCCCAAGGATTAAAGCTCACCGGTTGTGGGGTCCAAGATGACCAAAGGTTTCATCCATTGCCCACATCCCCCGCTACATCCACAGAACTGGAGATTTAGGCGAGATGACATGATGGGAACAAAAGCATCTCCAACCGGATGTAAAGCGAGATGTGACCTGGCTCTGATTCTGGTGCTAAGGCCGCTGCGCTCCAGACCAGGAAAGCTGCCCTGGGAGGACAGGGCAAGGAAGAGAAACGGACAAGCCTTGCTAACCCACAACAACAATCAATCAGCACCCGGGTTGTCATCCCATCCAATTTCCCGACAACCATCCCACCAGCCAACCCGGCCCTACGAAACCCGTCCGACCCGGGCACCGGCGTCTTTTTGGCGGCCGAAGCGGGCGCACGGCGCCCCAGGCGCCGGGCCCCAGCACGGGCACAGCGCCCCTCACCGGCGCAAGGCCTGCAGCGGTCTGTGCCAAATCAGGCGGCAGAGACTCGAAGGAGTCCACCCGAGAGCCCCCGAAGGAGGTCAAGAAGGACAGGCAATACCTCGGAGAACTCAAGGCTTTGAGCTTTGTGCTTTCTCGATTTTCCTGTGAGAAGCATCTTGCTGCGTCAAATTCAAACAGCCTTCAACTTTTTGCCGTTCACCTTGCTCGTGCTCTGTCCCCTCTCTGGCTTTCCCATACTCAAATCCAAGCAGAGCAATATAAGACAGGTCCGGCTAGCCTTTGTGTCTGCAGAATGCAATTCGCTATCTCCCCCAAAAAATGAAAGCAATTGTCAAATTGCACCCCGCTGCCTGTGCAGGAAGTGACTGCACCACTGCAAATCTTCTTTGCAGCACTCCGCCGATGCATACTTGGCATCCGCGACCACTGGGCTGCCCACGTGTGCCAAGTGAAGGCGGATTTGGTGGCGTCGGCCAGTGACCAATCGCAAGACCAAGAAGCCTCTGCCGCTGCCGGTGTGCAATCGCTGCTGTCATCGCAAAACATGCCAAAAGCGACTATTGGCCAGTGAAGGGTGCAGGTTTCTGATTGTTTGTCGTGCCTTCACTTTACGAAACAGGAGGTGAGCGGACCCCGCTCAGTAGCTGAAAGCATACCACGCAACATGTGGGCCGGGGCGCTGCAGGCCTGGCCCACGCGGCCCAGGTGCGCCGCCGCCTTCAGCCGGGTCCGCGCCCGGCGCCCGGGCGCCACTTCGCTGGGCCGCCGGCCCAGGCGGCCCAGCCACCGCACGGCCGCCGCGATCTCCGAGCGGTCCGGGCGCCAGCCGTGGCACAGCACCGCGTAGTCGCGCTGCAGCAGGCCCAGGGCCAGCTGAAGCTTCAGGTCATAAAAGGAGCCCCAGGTCCTGTTTGGCCAAGATGCAAATTTGTCTTGCACCTGACACAAAACACAAAAAGAGGAACAAAAGGGTGCCTGGCAGCCAGGATCAAGCCAGAGCTTGGCACATCCAGGCGGTGGATGAAGCCATGCTGCGGCGGGCAGGTGATTTGCGTGCGGCTGGGCTCCAGGGCGCGCAAGAAGTCGGAGAGGTGGCTCCTTGCCTTGCCATCGCTTTCAGCCTCCTCCGTCTTCCCTGATGGGCTGTAGTCCACTTGCCAGCCCGGCGGCTTGAAAACCACGGCCTCGGGATGCCCAAACCGAACCCGTACCAGTGCCTTTGCAAGAGAGAGAGAGAGAGTGAGTGAGTGAGTGAGTGAGTGAGTGAGTGAGTGCGTGTGTGCGTGCGTGCGTGCGTGAGTCAGAGAGGGAGGGAGAGGGTGACAGGAGAGGAGAGGGCAAGAGGAGCCATGCCTGCCACCCCTCCTGCCCTTCCATAACTTGCGCCTTGTCGCGCAGCTGCAGTGCCACCCGTGGCTCGGGGCTGGGTGCCAGCGGCGGCTTCAGAGTGAGCGGCGCCACAGCCGAGGCGCCGCCCTGCGCCTGTGATGCCTGGCCGTCAAAAAATAAAAAGGAAAGGGCTGCCTCGGGGCTCAAAACATCGTTTAACCTCTGGTCTACAGCGAGACGTCCATGAAATTCCCGAACAGGGTCCATGGCCTGCAACATATGCGTGTGGCTGCGTGGATGCGGGGTAGAAACATACAGGATGCTTGATGCACTCCAGGGGTATTTGAGGTTGGACCCTGACCTTCCCCTCCAACAGTTCAGAGCAAGCACTCCCATGGAGTGTCTGGAACAGTCATGGCCGCATTTCTCACAAACTCCTAGTTGTTGCAGTAAATTCCTAGAAATTGATTGTCACTGTTTGCACACCTGAACCCCTAGAAATCGCAAGTATTCGGTACTTGACGTAAGGAGGCCTCAATTCAGAAATGTTCAAAATCAGAATCGCTCATGCGAATCAGAATCAAACTCAGAATTATTCAGCATTCAGAATTATACAGAATTCATAATCATTGAGTCAACGAGAATTTGGGTGACACAACGCCGAACCAGAAAACACCCCAAACTCGGGGGGAAAAGCAAACACGCAAACTCCCACAAGGCCAAAAAAGAGACGGAGGTTCCGGAGAGTGCATGTCCAGTAAAAGCGGTGTGGAATACCCAGTCGAGCCTACTGTTGCTCGAAATTGATGGGATAGCGTGCAGAGTTGCATAGTAGCAGTGCCCCAAACAGCGAAGGAAGACAAGCAACAAGAGTTGTTTCCAATCGTTTGCCCCAAGAAGGGAGTTTTGGATTCAAAATGTGCATCCCCTCCTTTGGCTAAACTGGAGCTGTTTTTGTGTTAAATATTTTTTTGGGACAATGAAAAACATGCTGCTCTGTTTCTGGCTGCGTTTGGGAAAACTTGCCCAAACACCAGTGGATTTCCTGGGAGAGGAAAAAAAAAGAAGGAGAAAGCCTAGGAAAAAGAGAACGGTGTTGGGGGCTTAGAATCCAACTTCCGCCCAGGTTGTTTGGTGGCTGACACTTCTAGTTTTGTCACTCCTGCTTTTTACGCCTGGATATAACACGTGTCTTCTTCATTTGCAACTGTCAGAGCATGCACGGGTATAACTACTCCACCTTTGCAGTATTAAGTGCATGGTTTCAAAGCATGAATCGCATCTGTTGCCGATTCAAATCTCTTGCGCGCATCCACCACGCTTCTAAAGTCGACTTGACCAGATGTACGCGCAGTCCGTACTGCCCCTTCCTTCTTGGTGAGGTGCCCTTTCTATTTTTGAATTGCCATCCGATCTCAGGCAGAACCATATTGGATGCTTTTCACAATCCATATTGGCGAGCGCCATTCCATACCAAGAAAGTTGCGACAGGAAAGGGCCTTCAACTTGCCCAAGGCATCAAACGCAAATCGGGAACACATAGGTATGTACATATATATATATATATATATGTGGAGGTAACCCCCTTTGTTTTTCTTTTTCCGTTTTTCCCAACAGCTGAAAGCTTTGGGGTCTCAGCCCAAATTGGCTCCCGGGTGGTCCGGGGCAGCCCTGAGGTAAGGTTCCACCGGGGTTCCACCAGGGTTGCACGACGGTTCCACGAGGTTCTGCGATGGCTGCGGGGTGGTGCGAGCACTAAAAAGAGCACTGCATGCTGTTGGGGATATCGCCTGAGCTTTTTATCGGGGGGGGGGGGGGGAATGACCCATTCATGTTTAAACTTTAAAGGGTCAGAGGGAGACTCCAGGTACAGGGGAGGGCCACTCCGAGTCGCATGGTTTTGTTGTGGTTGGTGTACTTGCAATATGCTAAGCAGTTTCAAGGTACTGGAGTCCCAATTCAAAAATATTTGTTTCCTGCCTAATGTCCTCACCTTCATCAGAGACACAACTGGCGATTGGACATTTGCTGTTTGCAAGTCGCCGGACAATAGAACCCCCCGAGCCTTTCACTGAGGAGACTGACTTCAACCTACGCAAGACAGCCCACCAAGGGCACACAGCTGCCAACCTTGCCAACCTCACGCCCCTGGCTCCCAATCTCTCAACACGTCGCCTCCTGCAATGCCCGCCACACCACCTCTGCCGCTTGGTGTGAGGAGCAGCCAGCAAAGCACGAGGACCACAGCACCGTCAGCGCTCTGTCTGGAAAGTCCGGCGGCAGGGAACCGCGGAGCGTGAGGCGAGCTAAGTCCCACCTGGGTCATGCGCGTCTGCTTGAGGACTTCAGGGAGGGAAAAAAAAGGAGGAGAGAAAAAAAAAAAAAAAAAACGAAAAGGATAAACCACTCGGAAGGGCTACCTGGAGTCGGTCGGCTCAAGATTCTTGAGCAGGGCCAGTCTGCAAAAGGTAGATGGCAGGCATTCAATGTTTTGGAAGGAAGTGCAAAAACTTGAGGACCTGTAACACTTCTAGCCCTCTCAGCGCTTGTTTAACCATCACTTCCTACTGAACTTGTGTCAAGGCGATGCTCCTCCCCAACCCCAGCAACCGCAAGGATATCACAAAAACAGAGCTCGACTTGCAGACCGCAGCCACTGCAAATGCTGCAATGACACCATCGTGGTGGAATCTGAGGGCAGCATGCTCAGCGCCCAAGCAAGGTCAGCCATCTGGCGCACATCTAAGACTTGGCCCTCTCTGTGTCGAAGGCGTTCGGAGACTTCAGCGCACAAATGGCCGGCGTCCAAACCCAACGACGCTGAGGACCACAGGAGCACTGCTAGCTTGGGCAGTGTGTTGGGAGCCTCCTCCAGGTTGGGCCACAGGTTAAAGAACTCGCAATCCGAATGAATCATCCCCTTTCAACCGTAGAGCCATGACATGTCAAAACCGCCCTTGTTACACTCCCTTCCGTCCTTCATTCCCTTTCAACCCCGTACCCATGTCCAAGGCCCTTGCTACGCTTCTTTAGGCCTCTGTCCTGGACGGCCGCCGCTTGCGGCTGGTCCTCGCTGAGTTCGGCCACCTTCGCCCGGCGCCAGGCCGCCGACGCGGCAAACTCGGAGCCGGCGAGGCGCAGCGCCTGCCGCCAGCGCAGCTGGCGCTCGCAGGCGGTGCAGGCAGCGTTGATGCACACGGCGTCCGGGCGAAGGCCCAGGAGCCACAGAGCCAAGTCCCACCTAAAAGTCATTGATTTGTTTTCAGTGTGAGGGCTCCTGTTGCCGTCGCAAATGTCGGTTCTCAGGTGCAGTGTGGCTCGATTTGGTGCTGAGGAACCGCCTGGGTACTGTGCAATGTCCGAAGCCACTAATTTTCGAAATCCTGGGGATGAGCAGAAAATGATTCCCTGAACTGGCTGAATATCCCATATCCTTGATGATATTCAAAAGCAAGATTGCAAGCCTGTGGCAAGAACGCCATCTAAGACTACTACGATCCGCTGTTCCACTCGCTTAGGTACTTCCGTCTCACACGCGTTTCATGTTTCCTTCACTGACTCGCATCTATCCCCGTGAGTATCTTGCCCAGTGGATGGTTTTGGGTGTTCGAAGTTCAGGTACATTTTGCCGCGCCCATGCTTGGCGTACATCCCCTTCCCAAGCCCGCTGCCCCACCTGCTGGTGAAGGCGCTCAGTGCCGCACCTCGCGCAACCACGTTCTGCGTCGGCAGCTGGAACACGGCAGACCTCCCCCGCGATGACAGGGACTGATGTTGCGCTGAAATCTGAAGAAGCAAGTCCTTGAAACATATTGTATGTGCTAGGGCAGTCCACCTTCAATGGCCCCCTCCTCCGTTGCCTCCCAACGCAGCTTGCAAAAATACAAACCTCTGGCTGCACCCGCCTCCACCTGCCCTCCCTTGCTTGTACTGCCACACTTGAGCTGGCAGTGGAGAGGTCTGGCTGCAGCGTGCGACCGAGCAAGTCGCCCAACAACTGCCCAGCCAGCAGCCAGCAGCTTCCTTTCGCAGGGGAAAGGGCTAAGAAGGCGCAACCTCCCAAAACTATACATATCTAGATGAATATGTATGTATATATATATATATATCATGCACCCTCTTCCAATTCTGTCCCAAAAGCCCGCACCTCGGCATGCAAAAATGGCGGTGTTGTACAGAACCGTGTTGAGTTGGAGGCGGCCAGCCCGCACACGCCACAGTGCGAGCGAGGCTGCTTGCCATTGCCCAGCCTTCTCGCAAGCGCTCATGGCCGCGCCAGCAGAAATCTCGTTGGGAGCTGCACCGCGCGTCGCGGACATCGTGGCGAGCAGGGCGACGGCCTGTTGCCAGTGCCCGCCTCGCTCGCAGGCGCCGAGCGCGGCTGTGTAGCTGATGACGTTGGCCTGTAGACGCGCTGAGGGAAAAACGTCCAGCAAGCATATTGCAGACCTCCAGTGGTCCCTGCGTGCGAGTCCTGATAGGCTGGCTGTCCTGACAGGGCCCCAAGAATTGATCAAGAGTCAACTGGAGCCCGGTGACTTCCAAACGGTTGGCCTCTTTCTCACAGCGCTGCAAAGTGCCACTCAGAACTGGACCCGGTCCCCAGCACAGCATCCCGCTCGCCAGCGTCGAAGAGGTGCAGCACGCGGGCCCAGTCCGCAGCCGCCGCCCTGGTGCGCGCTGCCAGGGCTGACCTGGCGGCTTCCAGTTCAGAGAAAGAACCTGCCCGCGTTGAGTGAATCTGTGAAATGTGGGGCGGTTTGGGACCTGCATTCAGGCGGAACGAGGTTTGGCCCGGCCTCCCAGAGGTGCTACGGCAGCCCGGTAGGCTGTCATTTGGCATAGTTCCTCGGGTTGCACAAGTCAGCATCAGCAAAAGCTGAGCTGCAGTTGTACTAATTCTGAACGTGAGTTGACGTTGCCTGCCACTTGTTCAGTTCACTCTTCCGTGAGGTTGCTAACATTTGTGAGGCCCAAATTCATAAGTCTCAAATCAACCCCGTCAGGATCAAACAAGCACACCCATCTGGCACAGCTGCCCTGCCCACTGCAGCCCAAGAAGCGGTTTGGGTCCTTAGCCCGTCCTATTTCCCAAGGTCAGGCAGGACCTTTAACGATCCGTTGGGCAGTTAATTTTGCAGGCCACTGGAAAATCAGCTGCGAGTCGAAGGAGGGTCTGGCATATGTGAATCCAACAGGCCAAAGCGATATTCGTCAATGACTTCGCCAATGGACGCAGTGCTTGCCCGATGCCTACCCTTTGTCGACACGCAGCCAAATAACTTTGAGCCCAACAGCAACATGAATGCCCAAGGCAACACCATGCGTCACATGCACAATGCATTGCAGCATAATGAGTATGAAAAGGCGAAAGGTCAACTGAGTCAACTGCATCGCGATTTCAAAACGCCGCATGCTCCATTGATACCATGCGCACCCGGCCTGCGTGCCTAGCAGTGCCGCCACGGCCACGCAGTCCTCGGGCCACCGGCTTGCTTTGGAACCTGTTATGCCAGGGCCATGGCACCATGGCCAATGCCACTGTTCACTGCCCGTTCAAGACTGAGACGTGCAAACATATTCGATTCGATCAGCGACCCGCGACCTGCATCCGTCATTCTGCATCCAGCCAAGGATCAGGCGCATATGAAGCGCGACTGCGATACCAACGAAAGGCTGAAAAATGATGTCTGACCCCGCCGGAACTGCACCGGGCTGTCAAGGCCCGGGCTGCCTGCCCGGAGAAGCCCAAGCCGCAGCCTGCCAGCGACAAGCCTGGGCTGGACTACTGGTGCTGGCATGCACGGGCTTCCAGTTCAAGACATGGCTCGCCTTGCCGACACAAGCCTGGCACTGGCTACATTGGCCTCTTAGGTTTGTTGCTGATTCCTTTCTCCTGAGCAAGGGTTGTTGGTGCATGCTCTCTCATGAGCCACCCTATCATGTTGCGAAGCAGTTTGCACGTGCTTGCGAAGGACGGATATGATAAGCTCTAAAATGGAAGCATAATTTTGCCACTACCTTGTCCAATGTCAGCATCGACAGGCCACCTCAAGCTTTTCTGAGCGGCCATGTGAGTCATAACCTCTCTTCCTGGTTCAAGACCAGAATCCTCATAAAGAATTGAAAAGGAGGCCGCACAATGTATGGTTGGGCATTTGGCGGCTGGACAAGACGCTGTCAACGAATCTCACCCAGGCCCCTCCCCCATGGTGACCGCACACTTCAGCCCCCGGCTGCGCAGGCAGCTGGACTCCAGGGCTTTTGCCACACCTTACGTCAAGCTGGCAAATGCCGCTCAGCCAGAAAGCGTCCCTCGGGTTAGGAAATTCCATGACGGGGTGCAACTACAAACAAGGGGTCGAAGCAAACGAAGACTCGGAGCTAGGCCTGCTTACACGGAAAGGCAGAAGAGGAGGCGGCTAAGATCAAGTCGTGGTATGCACCAAGGCATAAAACACATGTCAAATCGGCTGCGTGTTTTTTGTTTTGGGATTGAATCTGCATAGGAACAAAATGAAACGGCAAGCAACACAAAGCAGCCACATAGAGTTGTTCTTTGCTTGGGCTGATAGATGAAACATGTTGGAAGCAACTTCCGCGGAGTTGCGTTTCTGATGCTCAGGTCAAGGCCCGCCACCCGCCCGCTAAGCGGTGAGAAGGAGATGTCCAACTCAGTGAGCGAGGTCCTGGGCAGGTGCCAAACACCTCCCACCTACACCACAGGAGCCATGCTTTCAAGGGCCGTCCTGTTTTTTCAACCCTCAGGCCGAGTCGCTGGCGGCACATGAGTGCGGGGAGACTGGGAAACCCGAGACCCGAGAGCCGTGCAGGGCTGAGATGGAGCTCGGCAGCGACTTCAGGAGGCTTGGGTCGCGGAAGTGCAGCGAGTTGGAGGCCTCGGAAATCGAGACGCCAGGCTTCAAGCCATTCGAAATCAGGTCTCAGTGCTGAGGGTTGAAAGTGCTGTTCCGTCTGCGAACGTGCACAAGGTCCCTCCTCAATCTCTGTTGCGCTCTGCGTGGTGCTAAAGTCCAAGTCGCGACAAAGCCGAATTTTGTCGCTGTAGGTCATTACCCGCCCTCTGCGCCCCTTGTGGCCCATGGCCATCTGAAACCAAAGGTGGGAAGTATTGTAAATGATGAACGCCCTTCTGTGCTACACAATGAATTCGGAGTTCCAAAGAAAAGGGCGGGCTCTGTTTTTGACAACCCCCCGTGGAAGGCCAAGGCCCCGGCCACACTGAGAGAGGCCAGCTGCATTCCGCTGGCCGCCTTCAGAGCTACTCTGGTGGCTCGGCGTCCAAGAGATGATGAAGGTCCCTTGCCCAGATCCCTTCCTCGGGTCTTGCCCTGAAAAGGTCAAAGACAAAGTTGGCGGATTTCCAGGTACCGTCCAATGATGTTTTGGCCTGCCCCTTTTGGTATGCGTGACGCTGATTGGGAATCGAACAATGGGCGCCTGCGCTCCAACGTGCTGTACACCCCGCGAATGCGCCTTTTTGTGCCCTGTTTCGTGTCGAGCGAGCGGCAGGCCATTGAACACGCAACCAGAGTGTAGAGCCCTGGTTGGGTACTGTTTCGCTCGGGGCTCCGGGGTTTGAAGAGGCATGTGTTGATTGGAACCGCCAAACAACCATGGGTTGAAAAGCTGATCCACCGCTCAGTCGCTCAGTACAGCCAACCTCATGAAAATATCCGCTTGCGTGCGGACTGCGGACTTGCCCAATTGCAGCCCACTTTTGCTCAGGTGAGGCTCGGACCTGCAGCCTCCGTTTACAAGGGCTGCGCGTGCCCAAATACCCACGGCGGCCAACTGCAAAGGCTGTGGCTCTTCATGTTCAGGGTTGCATCATGACTGGGTGTAGAGTAGGTGTTGGTTTAAGGTTGGTTTATCATTCACCGGCGTGCATGAAAACTTCAGCAAGCAACACTTAAAAGAGTTGCTGCAACTAAGCTTGAACTAATCCGCAACGAAGAAACTCGCAAAAGGATTGAACTCGCTGAACATCTTTCCGAAGACATCAAGTTTGCGAGGGTGTTGATTTAGACTTTGCGAAAAATGCCACGACAAACACATAGATTAACCCGCAGCACCGGGAAGCATCAATGTAACAGCGGACATGTTGATCAACTTCCAAGGAAACCTGCATACAACCACAATCGCGGCCGCAAGGATGAGAAAACATTGAAGGGTGTTCTAAATGTTTTGGACAAGCAGAATTATGTCTTACATGGTGATAGTCTAAAACTGTTGATAACAAGGGATGAACATAAAGAAGATTAACCGGGTAATGGAGTTTAAGCACAAGCAGCGGCAATCACAGCATCACTTGCGCCAAAAGGGGTTCACAAACACCAAGGACCATGCATGAAAAAACCTTCCTAGACGCCCTGACAGCCCCCAAACACTTCGCAAGCCGCCCGCGCCTCCTCAGGCTCCGCACCTGGCAATGTGAGAGCTACCGAGATGACTGACCTGACTGGTACGCAGGCAAACCGAGTCAGGCTGAGGCACCGTCAGGCCGGTTGGAAGCTACCGCAAGCCTAAAATGCAGTCTGAAGCTGTGAGCAGCTGTCGCAACGTAGTGAGACTGAGCACTGCCCATGCCAGCAACTGAGCCACCCAACAAGAAAGTGTGCTCGGATCCAAGAACACCATGCATTCTCACAATACCAACTGCCCTATCGATGGCCAAAAGTTGTCCACCACTTGTTGGAACTCACCGGCTCCCATGCCGCCTCTGGCCAGCAGCGTGAGAACTTCCCGAAGCCCCAGGTCTGTGAGCTTGTTGCCACCTTCTCGCCGGGATGCTCCACTTACAGCGTGCTCCAACCCAAGTTGGTTCTTTGGTGTGAGGGCCGGGTGACCGTTGACCTACCAGCGGTAGAAGCACACTGAGCTCCTGGCTCAAGTTCAGCTCCCGCAAGGGCTGGCCCTGCGCAGCGCCTGGCCGGACACGTGGGACCAAAGGGCTTGCACTGGACCGATGGAAAGAATCCATGGGGACGTGCGCTGCAAGAAGCTGATCCCCCAATGTTGTCGTCGCTTTTTGTGTTTTTTGAAGGTGGGATGCTTCGTTCAATCAACCCTGTTGAACACAATCTTCATTCGCAAGTTGCAATGAAGTGACTCTCTGCCAAGCAGGCGGTCCGATAACTATGGAATCCTACCAAGGCGACAGCAATGTGCAGAGAATCAGCAACGTGAGAACTACAAACTAATGTGTGTCTGATGGGGCGCAATACAATCCCTTTGAGCCTCTTCGTCTCCCATAAACATCAAGCCACTGATGGCATGGTGGTTGGCACGGGTCAAGATCACACCCGAATTATGGCCTTGCAGAAATTGGTGTCGTCAATGGGGCACATCCTGCAAACCCAAGAATCCGCCGGTCAGGTGCCCCGGCACATCACGGCAGTGCGGACCTCAGGCACCGAAAAACTGATCGAGGCCCTCAAAAGCCCCGACCCGGGTAGCGCAGCTCAAAGTTGCGAGGGCCCACATGGGCTTTGGCTCTAGGTCCTCAGGTCCATAGAACTGTCCGCTTTGTTCAATGGCTTATGAGAATGCGGTTTGGCCCAAGGTCACTGCAAGGAAAACCGAACCTGATGCACTGATCCCTCCCTGGCCAGCCTGCTTCAAACCGAAGCGCGTCATTCTTCTCAAAGTCATTTGAAAGGGGCACGCCCTTTATTTAATTTCCCTGCACTTGCCATCCGAGTGCCCGTGCGGCTGCCCAATCCCCCTTCCCGACTTTGCACCCGCGCTAGCGCATGCACGTCCCCGTCGTACAGCGACCGGCCCGAGGCGTCAATGATGCCCCAGCCGTTGCCGAAGTAT